TTGGGAACAGATTCGAGGATGGATACGGACTTGGCCGAGGGAAACCAAAGCCCTGAAAGAGCGGCCTGAGCCTCTTCGGTTGCAACAAGGAACCGGAAGAGGGAAAACAAGATGTACGTCGTCGGGCGGTGATAGCAGCTGGAGTGATTCGTCGGTAGAAGCCTACGATGTAGGAGGGAAAGGTAAGGTACGAAGGAGGGAGGTGAGGAATTAAGGTGGGTAACCGTAAGTTCTGTCATGTCATCAACCGAGCGACAAGACACGAGTGCACGGTACTTGCTTAGGTAAGGCAACGGGCTGAACGCGTCCAAAAACCGTGCTAGGAGTAATTACAACGGTAATTACGCATGTCGCTTATTAATGAGTCAATTTAGCTTCGCACTATCGTCAGATGGATGGCTACTCGAGAGGTACCTACCTTAGGTACCTTATGTGCCGAGCACGTTGTATTTGTACACCACCGGTTTTGTACTTCAGAGACAAAGCTGCACTCTAATTACCTTATCCACGTTTCTTCATCAAGTGACAACGGTAAGACAGTACGGAGCATCCGGACGGATAATCAATTCATCACCAGACAGGAAGAAAAAAGAAAAGAAAAAAAAAAGAAGAAAAAAAGTGAACAAAGTGAACGCACACTTGACAAAAACAAACGATACCCGAAATACCACCACGCCTCGGCCCTCTCTCACGTGGAATACTACCTTGGTATTTCCTAACGTCAAACACATACCAATTGTTAATCCTTAGCCGGATCCTCGGAGGGACACAATCCTCAGTCCTCAGCTTCCTCGTCGGATTTCTACTCCCATGTCGACGTCTCATTGCCCACTATGACCACTCCGGTCCTTACCATGTATGAGACATACCACAACTCGAGGAATGTCATCCCGCAGGTTACCTAGCAACTCCCATCGGAATGTGTTCCCATCGCTGCCATGCCATGTGCGAGTCTGCGAGACACTTGACTATAATACAATACCCTACCCCTCCACTTCCATTCATGATCGAATGGACTTGAGGTTTAGAAATCAGCACTGAACACTTTCCCATCATATCATTGTCACCCTCTCGCCATGCCTTTCACTACCACTATTACTGTCTTTCTCGGTCTTCTGGCGGCTGTGGAAGGCTCCTCTGGAGGGACTGCTCGGAGCCAAGCTGGGTCAAGTTTGGGCTTGGCTCGCGCTTGGGACGAGGCTCCATTGGCTGGCATCGACCCCAATACTCATCATAACAGCATCGAGAACGATGTGTTGCGCAGGCTTCACAGCGACGACCGCCCTATCCACTCAGGCCGTCTGGTTACACGGGCTGAGATCTCGGTGTCCGAAGCAGATTTTCTGCAGCTTATTGGCGACGTGGAAGACATCCGCGATCGACTTTTCGAGATGCTCAACACGGGTCGAGCTCCCGGCGCGGGTTCCAGCGAGGGTCCAGACGTCGGCTCGCCACCCACAGATGATCAAAATCTCCCGGGAGGCGGCTGGCCACAACTCGATGATCCGCCGCGTGACGGGCTCACAGCAACAGCTGAAGAGACGCCCGCGTCCAGCCCCCCACCTCCGTCACAAACCTCGAGTGCTCAAGACCTCACCGTCCTGCTACCAAGTGTGAGTCCCACCCCGACCCCTCAGTTGCTAACCACGACTATGCCAGATCCTCCCGGCCCCATCGAGGCAGAACCTACAAGCTCGATCGGTGCAGTGACAGTGACGGCAGTGACTGTGCCGACGGGCGACCCATTCGACAACGACACGGACGGAGACGAGTTTGGTGAAGAGTTGACTACCGTGGTGGCAACAATGACATCCGACATCGACTGCACAGCTACCATCACGCACACCTTCACCGAGTTTCTCTACAACGGACCGTCCACACTTGCAACGTCTCTGCGTGTACTAAGCGAGTCGTTCGACGGCGACGGCGACGGTGCGTCCTCGACGGAAAGCGTGGCCGTGACCGAGTTCCCGGAAGACGACAACCTGGTGCCGTTCGACTTTGGCGACGAACGCGAGCCAGGGCGGCCGATCGCTTCCTCGACGGCCCTCGAGGATCTCTGGGAGGCAGCGGCCCCGACCATTACAGAGCCGCCGCCTACCTCGAGCGAGACCACCGACCTCCTGGGAGATCAAGTGCAGAGTGTTGAGGAGCTCCCCGAGCCGAGCGGGAGCCAGGAGTCGCCGCCGGCCCTTGACCAGGACGGCAATGGCCCGCCGGAAGAAACCCCGTCGCTTATGACGTTGCGGCTCCCCGGAGAAGGATCGACTTCTATCGTTTGGCGGACGATTTCTTTGCCCGTTCCGCAGAATCAGAATCGGGTGGCATGGTAGGTACCGGGCACATCCGAGATTGAGAGTGCCTTGGGCCGCCAACCAGAAGGGCAACAGCTAATCGAGGCGTGCGTCCGTGCAGACGGCGATGAGTTCAGGGCAACGAAATTGAAGGAGTAACGAGACAAAAGGATGGAAGCAGGGGACGGAAATAACGCTTATCTATGGGTAACGTACACATCGACGAACTAAATTGGATTTTTTGCGGGGGACGGCATTGCTTTTCTAGTTGAACCCTGTCATATTCGTAATGGTTTATTTTGGACACCGGCAACACAAGGCGCATGCGAAATATAATTTACTTGCAATTTTCTCATCATTTCGAGAGTTCGCCTTCGCCTTCGGGGGTCGTTGAATCATCGAGTGAATAAGGTACCTTAGAGAAAGAATTACATACATGTGAACGTGCTAGGATGGTACCTTTGCAATAGGTTAATCTTGAGACCAAAGGATGGGCTAGTACTTCTCTTTGTCGTAGACACGTATCCGCAAGACCCAGTTACAGAAGGTAAATGTCCTGGCCGAGAAACCGGAGGGCCAAGAGGCCGGAACTCTTCCGGCCTTCTTGTCCTCTGGCCGGCAAGCGTCGGAGGGGAAAGTGGGGCAAGACCCAATCTATTACTCAACCGGAAGGGGACGTCGACCAATTCAGGAAGTGGGGCCTTGTTGCCTCCACCTCTTCCGCGTGTCACCCACACCATCTGTCACATTCTATCACGTGAGCCACGGTATGGTGACCTCCTATTGGTTAGAGGTGCCCCACTATCCTCGCTTGGAAGGTGGTAGATGTATTTAGGACACGTACACCCGCCCCCTTTTTCTTTCTCTTTTGTACATAATATAATCATACATTTCTTGAATCAACGCTCCATGCAAGCACGCTCCCGTCAATTCAACAGTTATAAGCCCGGGAGGAATACGCTAGTGTATTCCTGTAACTCCGCTGCTACCTACTAAAGGTTACCCGTTCGAAACCCAGCCGAGGAGATACCTTAAACGAGCTTTAGTGCCCTAGAAGACCGCTTATACGAAATAAGCCGTGTCGATGTAAGTATGTATCCAGTCAGCCTTTAAGCACGAAGATCGTCCTTATACAGGCTAGGGGGTGTGTTGAACTATATAACATCAAAAAGTACCTACATCATTAGAGGATTCTCTTTTGGTGTAGTAGTACGTTTTTGAGTGTGACACCATCTGAGCATCTCACAAAAGGGAGCAAAGAAAGGTGAGAGGTCGGTCTTGTCTGACCTTCAAAGAGAGGACGTCATATTATATATATATATATATACCCGTTCAGAAAACTCTCAATATGTTCGGCCGTCCTTGGCAGATGGGAATGCTACGTTGAAAACTTGAATCTCATGTTGAGCCGATGGTATTTTATGGTAAGATTCCGTCTGTCTTGTCCCAGTGGAAGAGTGAGTGAACAGCGTGTCGGTCTCGACTCTCGAGGCCCGGATGGAGGGTTCGGAAGACAATGGGCAGCTGGGCTTTGTCATGACAAAGAGAAATCCCGAAAGTAAGACCTCGGGTCCTGTAACCTGTTCGACACATCCTTCATGCTGGCGCCCCCTATTCAACGGTCAACACCCTCACTCACATGAGGCCGGAATCGATTCCGGCCACGATGTATATCAGCGCGCCGTGTCACCTAGTCGGCCCCTTTTCAACTTTCCATCCTAGTCTCTAGACGCAGCCAGCCCATCACCTCGTTTTCCTTATTTTCTCTCTCAGTTCATCTCACTTCCCTTTGACTTGAAGACACACTGCTCTTCGACGCAAGATATACATCAACCCCTGAGATCCCCCATCCCACTGTAACACAGCTACACTCATACAACCCATCCACCCCTACCCTCCCAAACATGGGCTCCATCGAAGCTCTCTCGTCCTCCACCACCTTCCCCGTCCTGGACGACCCCCGTCCAGACGACACCTCCCTCCCAGCCTTCATGGTCTCTACCACCCGTGGCTTCCTCCCCCGTGCCCATCCCGTGGCGACGCTGCCCGAGCCCTTTGCCCCTCTCGAGTCCCTCCTCGCCCGCATGCCCGTCCGCACCTTGTCCGGGGAACCGGGTCTCCTGGCCGAGTCCAAGTTCGGCGAAGCCGTCCTCGCCGAGCTGCCCGATCTCACCGACGAGGTGGAACGCTTTGCCCATGACCTGCCCGTCATGAACGCCTTGTACCGGGACTACTCCTTTGCCGCGTCGGCCCATCTGCTCGAACCATGCCATGAGCGCTTCGTCAGGGGCGAGCCTTATGGCCTGGCCCGGGATCGTCTCCCGAAGTGCATTGCCCGGCCTATGGCCCGGTGTGCTGAGATGTAAGCCCCGCATGTCTTTCGTATCTTCTTCTCACTCGTCTCTATGATTTCGTAGAACACCTCACCTCTTCCTGGTCATGGCTGCTTCATCTTATGTACTTATTTTATTACTCTTTCACCTTCCCAATGTCTTGTCAAGCGTTGCAACGTCCCTTTTCTCTAACATGGGCGGCCCAGTACCGGCTTCAAGCCCTGGATGGAATATGCCGGCTCCTATGCCCTCTACAACTACCGCCTCGAGGATCCCGAACAGGGCATGGACTACTCCAACCTCCGTCTCATCCGCGCCTTCGAGCATGGCCTGGACCCCACGTCCTCGGAAGCCGGCTTCGTCCTTGTCCATATTGAAATGGTCAAGCACTCCGGGCCCCTCGTCAAGGGCGCCACGTCCCTCCTCTCCCTGGCGGCCGAACACCCCGCCCCGTCCTGTGGGTTGCCCCTCCCCCTCCCCCTCCCCCTCCCCCAGCGCCGTGCCGTCAACACCGCTCTCAGCGACATCCTCGCCGCCCTCCGCCGCATCAACGCCGCCATGGAGACCATGTGGTCCAAGTCCCGCCCGGCCTCCTACACATCCTTCCGCACCTTCATCTTCGGCATCACCTCGCAGTCCATGTTCCCCCACGGCGTCGTCTACGAGGGCGTGCCGCCGGAAGAGCCCCAGTCCTTCCGCGGCGAGAGCGGCGCCAACGACTCCATCGTCCCCCTCATGGATAACCTCCTGCAGGTCCCCATGCCGGATACCCCGCTCACCACCATCCTCCGCGACTTCCGCGACTATAGGCCCAGCAACCACCGCGCCTTCCTCGGCCACGTCGCCGACCGCAGTGCCCAGCTCGGCCTCAAGCGGTTGGTCCTCGCTTTGGACGAGGAGATGACCGCGGCCGATGGTGACCACGACCACGACCACGACGGCGACGGCGACGGCGAGGAGGAGAGGAAGGAGGCCGTACGCATGTCCCGCCGCCTGTGGCTGAAGATCCTGCACCAGGTCCGCGACTTCCGCTGGCGCCACTGGTGCTTTGCTCGCGAGTACATCCTCAAGCGGACTAGCCACCCCACCGCCACGGGTGGCAGCCCTATCGTCACATGGCTTCCGAACCAGCTGCAGGCTGTCCTGGCGGAGATGGAGCAGATATACGTTGGTTTGAAAGGCCGAGACGGTGGGGAGTGGGCTCTTGGCGAGGAGATCTCGGATATCATGGACCTTGTTGGGCGGCAGAAGGAAATGTTGAGGAAGGAAGTTGGCAAGTATTGTGCCGAGCGCGGCGTTTCTCGGTCCTGAGCCGTCAGTGAGGATTCCCTTCACATCTGTCTGTCCTTAACGCTTCCCTGATCACACAGACGCTCTGAATGATTTCATGCATAGTCCCCAAGATACGAGAACATGCTGGTACAAGCTAGAATTCGAAACCCCTCCTTTCTTTGCTTTTGGCAATGTTATGGCGTCACCTGTTCAACTCCTTCTCCATGCTGATACGCCACACCGGGGCCTTCTTCTTCAGCGCCCAAATGCAAGCATAGCCGGTGACCCACGTAAACACACCCAGGATTGTAAAAAGCCACCCGTGCCCGATGGAAGAGATGACCGGTTGGGCGGCCACAGCGCCGGTACACGAGAACATGTTACGGACAAAGTTGTTGACGGCCACGCCGCTCGAGCTGCGCTTTGGCATGAACTCGGTCAACATGGTGGTGGCGGCGGCGCTGGAAATTTTTACATGAAAGACGTAAGCAGTGGCCGCGAAGATAGGGGCGCGGGAAAGGGAACTCACAAAACGAGCATCGAGGCTCCTCCAAAGGTAAACTGGCTTATTACCGGCACGAACCAGAAAACGCCGTTTTGAATGGTCCACCCGTAGAAGATGAGGCTGGCCGGGTACACGGTAGCGGCAAGCCAGGCGTTCTCTCGCATGCGATCCTCGGGGAGCAGGACGAGGTTGCCGCCGTCGTCGTAGCGTCCGGCCTTGCGTGCCTCGCGGGCCATGATGTAGTCGAGCCAGCGACCACCCAAGAGGGAGGCGATGATGTAGCCCGTTCCCGAGGGAATATACATCAAGCCGAGGATGGACGGGGAAAAACCGTACGGGTCGGTGGAGTAGGCAGCCTGGACGGAGATGTTCAGGGCGAAGAGTGTGCCAAAAGTGATGGCGGCGTAGTAGACGGTGATGGCGACGGGAGGGAAGCGGAGGTAGAGGAGGATGGAGAGGGGGTCAACAATGAGCTGCTTGAAGACGACGGCGGCTCTTTTTGTGCTTTCCTTGACCGACTCGGCCGTCTTGGTTCGCGTGAGGCCCCCGGCGTTGTTCTCGCTGCTGTCATTGGCAGTTGCTACTACGGTGGGAGCTGGCGGGGACTTCAGCCTGGGCAATGTTTCGGGCAGGCAAAAGACGAGAAGGAGGAGTATGACGCCGCCGTAGATGGTGAGAGCCCACATGGTGGACTGCCATCCCAAAGCTTCAGAAAGGGCACCGCCTGCGATGGGCCCCAAGAGAGGCCCTATGAGGGGCCCGAGATAGAAGATGCTCATGGCGCGACCCCTTTCCCTGGACTCCCAAATGTCGGCAATGGTGCCGGCGCCGACGGCCTGCACACTGGCACTGGCGCCACCAGACAGGAGGCGCATGACGACGAGCATGGCAATGCTGTGGCTCACAGCACTGAGCACGGAAAAGACGATGAAGAGGGAAAAGGAGACGAGGTAGATATTGCGGCGGCCCAGGGTTTCGGAGAAGGAGGACCACCAGAGTGGGAAGATGCCCATGGCGAGCATGTACAAGGCCACGGACAAGTTTGCAATGACCGGCTCGGTGTCAAATTCTAGGGATATCTGTGGAAGGGCAGCTGGAGGTTGATGAGCTTAAGTGATCGATCGACTGCATGCGCAAGCAAGGACGAGAAAGGGGGAGGGGGGGGGGAGAGAAAGGGCAGAGAAGCCTACGATAGAAGATGCCCGAGCCTAAGGGCCCAAGCCCGCCGGCCAAGGCGACGACGGCGGTAATAGCCCATTTCGTCCTCTTGGTATACTCGTAAGGGCAGCCAAGTTCCGGGATCACGGTGAAACGACCCAAGAGCCCGCGTTGCTGGGAGCGCGGAACGATGGAGAGCGGACGGGAGCGAGTGGACGAAGGTCGGGACGGCGGCGACTGTTTCTCGTCGGAACTCGATCTAGTTTGTCTTGCGACGGAGGAATCACCCGCCCGGACGTCTTGAAAAGCAGCCATTTCGAAAGCCGAGAAGGTAGCTGATAATGCCCGGCATTGGAAGAAACGAAAGACCAAATCGTCGCGGCACGGCGAGAAAAGGAAGCGGACGGACGAGGCTCAACAGGTTTATTCCCCTTCTTCAGCAAGAAGGTAATAATTAGTTGGTTTGCAAGACGCATGAGCGGTACTGGCTAGGGTGCTTAGTGTCCAGTGTTGGTACAATACGAGAACGGATGGACCTCAAAATAACCCCCAAGCCGACGAGAGAGCCGAGGTTGAGGCGGTGATGTGAAATTGTAATAGTAATCAAGGCGTGTCGAGGGGACAAGGTCAGGACTGGAGACCCGTCGGTGGTCTGTCAGCGATCACCTCTAACGTATGTACAACGTACAACGTACATATTACGCCCCATCTTGCTTTCGACGATTTTTCCAGCACGTCTTCCCAGTGCCATGCAACGTACAACGTACGCCATGGCAGTGCCAGTGCCAGTGCTCAGCGAGGCCCCCTGGCAGTGTTGGCTGGGTCGTGTGAGGCTAGTCCGTTCAAGGAAGCTCGTTTTGAGGGTGGGTTGGGCCCCCCATGCTACCGGTTAACATGGCGTCGGGTCGGGGCTTCGGGAATGAGCCGGCAACGGGGATGGCTCGGCGAAGAAGCCACTGTGAACGGTGAACGGTGAACGGTGAACACGTGAAATGGGTAGCTAGGATGGGAGAGACTTGTCCTCCAATATATTTGAGGCTTGGACCTTGACAGAATTGCTCGTCTCAATCCTCTCGCTCTTCGTACAGGACATGAGGTATCTCATGTTCGTTCCTATGTTCTTATGAGCACGCCATTCCTCGGGGTCTGACGGTATCAGGGTGATATTGATTGCCAAGGCCATATTCCTCGTATAATATGGTCTGTCTATTCATGCAATGACCGGCAACTACCAACTTTTGTTGGCTTGATCGAGGGGGGACGCAGCCAACGCGATGTTGAGATGGTCAGTCAATGCCCGCGTATTGACTATCATCACTTGGTAACTCTTGTTGAACTCTCGAAGAACATGGGAGGCTTCCGTCTGAAAACAGTTCCTGTGTGTGCTTGGCGCCAACATCGACAGAATTGAGACACGGCGGCAACGTCCGCCAAGCCGGTGCACGTCACACGTGGTAGTTGTGGCACCCGCATAACTGAGATGTTCGGAAATTCGGGAAAACTTGTGATTACCTATTCTCGATCGGGAACATCAAATCTTAAGACACTTGTCCGTGTACGACGTAGTACAGAGAGAGAGAGAAAGAGAGAGAGAGAGAGATAGGGCCAGAGAACGCCATGAATGTGAAAGAATGATAGGTCGTCTTGATAAAGCGGCCGAAGCCAGAGAACAGAACAACTCGGCCTTGACGCTATGATGGGGATAAAAATTGAAAGTCTCTACTGAGAATAGTGGCCCTTGTTGCTCGGTGGTGTTCTCGGGGAAGAGGGGAAGGAGAAGGAGAATGAATTCGGGCATGAACAGACGAAGGGATGTATGTAACGGGAAAGGAAGACGAGAGAAGAGACGGAAGGGACGATGGACGGGGCTGTGAAGGATTCAATTGATTATGTAAACTACCTTATTATAGGCAGGCCATTGTTGACTCACTCATTCCCTCATTCCCTGATTCCCCTCATCCCGAACGTACTCCGTACTCTGTACCTTGCGGTATATGCAGGTACGTAATTACTTCGCCTACGGAGTACTAAGAACTTGGAAGTAATTAACATCTCAACACCATCGCCCGCACTTTATGGACACATCTCAGGAATAAAATAAAATAAAAAGAGAGGATTTTTTTTTAGACAAGACACCTATTCTTACGAACCTCATACATACATACGTATAGGAAAACCATATACACAACCCCCGAAATGTCTGTCACAAACGCCTCTCCCGCCCAGGCGGCTCAGGCAGCCAAATCGGCCTCTCATGTTCTGGCAACGCTTCCGGCATCGGCTCGCAACGATGCTCTGACGGCCATTCACTCCATTCTCTCCTCGTCCCGCGAGTCTATCCTCGCCGCCAATGCCGAGGACATGGACCTAGCCAAGAAAGCCGCCGCCGATGGTCAGCTCTCCTCCAGCCTCGTCTCCCGTCTTGATCTCAGCAAGCCCGGCAAGTACGACGACATGCTCAAGGGCATCCTCGATGTCCGCGACCTCCAGGACCCCGTCGGCAAGGTCAGCCTGAAGACGAAGCTCGACGACGACCTGATCCTCGAGCGCGTCTCCAGCCCCATCGGCGTCCTCCTCATCATCTTCGAGGCCCGTCCGGAAGTCATCGCCAACATCGCCTCCCTGGCCATCAAGTCTGGCAACGCCGCCATCCTCAAGGGCGGCAAGGAGTCGACCCGCTCCTTCGTTGCCATCGCCTCCGCCATCTCCAAGGCCCTCGAGTCGACCGCCGTGCCCAACGACGCCATCCAGCTCGTCACCACCCGCGACGTCATCCCCGAGCTGCTCGCCCTCGACCGCCTCATCGACCTCGTCATCCCCCGCGGCTCCAACGAGCTCGTCCGCTCCGTCAAGGAAGGCACCCGCATCCCCGTCCTGGGCCACGCCGACGGCCTCTGCGCCGCCTACCTCGCCGCCGACGCCGACCCGGCCCTCGCCGCCCGCGTCCTCGTCGACGCCAAGACGAGCTACCCGGCCGCCTGCAACAGCCTCGAGACCCTCCTCGTCCAAGAGTCCGCCCTCGCCACCCCGGTCTTCACCACCGCCGCCCGCGCCCTCCTCGCCGCCGGCGTGACCCTCCACGCCGACGGCCCTTCCAAGTCCGCCATCCTCGCCTCGGTCGACGATGCTCCTACTGCCCAGGTCGTCGACGTCCAGGAGAGCGACTACGACACCGAATTCCTCTCCCTCGACCTCGCCGTCAAGACCGTCGCCGACCTCGCCGCCGCCACCGCCCACATCAACGCCCACAGCTCCGGCCACACCGACCTGATCCTCACCTCCGACCCCGCCGCCGCCGAGGCCTTCCTCGCCGTCGTCGACTCGGCCGGCGTCTACTGGAACGCCTCCACCCGCATGGCCGACGGTATGCGCTACGGCTTTGGCACCGAGGTCGGCATCAGCACGAACAAGATCCACGCCCGTGGGCCCGTCGGCCTCGAGGGCCTCATGATCTACAAGTACAAGCTCCGCGGTACCGGCCAGGTTTCCCTCGCCTACGGCGAGGGCGAGGGGCAGAAACCTTTCAAGCATGAGAAGCTTCCCCTGAACTGACCGGGGGAGGGAGGTCGAATGAGCAAGTAAATAGTAAATATATATGACATGGGACAAAAGAGGACAAAAGGGGGACCGAGGGAGGTGCATTGGCTTTGCAGAAGAAAGTATGGCGTTCAGTATGAAAAGGAAAATTGGGAAGTGGGTTGAAGGCTCTATATCTCCAGTCACGCAGGATGAGCTGGGAAGACTTGATGAGAAAAAAATGAAGCTCGTTTAGATGATAGCATTGAATGAAGACGAAAACACCACCACGATCATAATCGGCCAAGAGCGTCAGAATCATTACCCTCAACCGGAACCACAGAATATATTAATAGACTTACACATACAATTGCATTCATTATAAGTCAAGAACTCTTCATCTGATTCCATAATGTGTAGTGCATGCAACGCAACGCACATTGACGAAAAACAAACGCCCTCCCACCCCACTTCCGGCTACAAAAGGGATCCATCCCACGCCATGCCAACTCAACAGAGAGCATCAAGAGTCATTATGCAAATGCCAAGCGAGTCACGGCCGTAGCAAGCAGTAGTCGCTCAATCAATCGTGGGGAAAAAGAAAGAAAAGAAAAGAAAAGATGAAAAGAAAACCATCATCCAAACCCGTATTCACACCCGCCTGCCCGTTCACCCTCCCCCTACCCAGCCAGTCCCCTTTGTTTTATTCTCCCCGGCCTCGGTAATTCCCCATCCTTTCAATATTGCTGATGATGCCGCTCCGCGGACCAAACCCGCTTCCTGGCCTGGGCAACCCGGGCCCCGCCCCGCTCCTCGTCCTCTCGTGCTGTGCCGCGCCGCCCCGTCCGGGCATCACGATCGAGCTTCCCGGCGCCTTGAGACCCGAGGGCCGCGAGATGCTACCTCGCAGGTTCTCGTTGCCCGACTGCGCCTGTGTCCGCGACGCGGGTCCCGGTGTCCTCATCTTACCCGGCGTCCGCGCCTGCGTCGGCTCCGATGACGGTTGTGGTGGTGGCGGCGGCGCCGCCGCCGCCGACATCGGCTGCGTTTTCCTGACCGTGCTGGGTTGCGCGGGCGAGGCAACGGTGGTCTGCATGGCCATCATCTCCTCGGCGAGCATCACCAGCTCGCCCTTCTCGACGCGTTCCGTCTCGAGCAGGGCCCGTAGTTCCGCGTTGTCGTCCTGCACCGTCCGCAGGACCGCATGGAGCTTGTCGACTTCGGCGCCCAGTTCTTTGATCTGCGCCGAGTTGTGGATGGCCTGCGCCTTGCGCTCCTCCTCGGCCGCCTGCATGTGGTGGTCGACCCGGGTCATGGTGGCGTCCCGTCCCAGCCGCAGCCGCTCGTTCTCCTCGCCGAGCTCCCCGAGCTTGTTCTCCAGCTCGCGCACCTTCTTCTCCCACCGGCCCTCGTAGCTTTTCTTGAGTGCCGCCACTTTCGTCTCGTGTTTGCTCTTGTAGAGGGCATGCAGCTCGCGTGCCACCCGTTCCACGGCCATCTCGACCTCCCTGGAGGCATTCTGGTTGTTGTTGCTGCTGCTGCTGCTGTTGCCATTGCCCCCCCCGGGGCTCCTCGCCTTGTCCCGCGCGTTCTCCTCGGTCGCCCGTCCGGCGCGCATGCCGGCGAGTTTGCTCTCGGCCTCCTGCGCCATCGTCTCGGCCGCCTCGCGACGCTGCTCGCTCTCGGAGAGCTTGTATTCGAGCTCTTCGCGCTCGCGCTGGCCCAGAACAATCTCCTCCTTGACGCTTCGCAACACCGATTCCATCTCGCGGCTGCGCCTTTCCCAGCCTTCCTTTTCGGCCACGAGCTGCTCTCGCTCCGATTCGACCTCCCGCACCCGCTCCATGCTCTCGCCCACGCGCTTCTCGGCATCGCCGACGGCCGTCTTGAGGGATTGGACTTCGGCCTCCTTGCCGCTCAGGGAGGCCTTGAGGCTGCTGATCTCGGAGAGGAAGCTGGACTTGAGACTTTCTAGTTCGCGTGGGGTGACGGTGGGAATGCTGCGAGGGGTGGGCATGGGGGGGATATCAAAGTCGAGGAGGCTCTGGGCTGCCCGAGCCGGGGTAGCCATGTAGCTGTTGGCGAAGCCGTTGAGGTTGTTCGGCGGGGAGGAGGTATTGGTTGGCCTGCCGTTGGCTCTTCCGGGGAAGCGAAGCTGGTCGGTAAAGTCCATGAGGAGGTTTGTGGTGTTCCCCGACGAGTCTTGTTGAACGGACATGGGGCGAGCGGTTCGTGAGGGCGAGGGGTCGGGTCTAACTCGTGGGGTCATGCCACCGAGGACGGATGACCTGGTAGGGCTGTTGCCGAATTTGGCGAGCATGGTCATTTCGGGAACAGCGGAGAAGGTACTAAAGGCGCTCATCATGGTGTCGTCTGGACCAAGAGCCGCTTCGAATGAGTTGTCATGGTGCATCTCGGTGTCGTCGCCGCCATGGTCAACGCTGTTTACCATCTTGTCCACGGATTGAGGGCTATGGGCACCGACATCTCGGCCTTGCCCAACATCATCTTCATCTTCACCCCTGTCCTCGTCCTTGTCCTTGCCCTCGTCATCGTCATCTTCAAAGATCTGGATCGCCTTGGCCAGACCCTTGTTATCACGCACCGCATCCTCCAAGCTCACGGTCCTCTCGCGAGAACCTGACCGTGAACTCTCGGCTGTATCGCTGACGGGATTGCTTACCCTGACGGGGAAGCGCTTTTCGGGAGAGAGGATGCTCTTGCGGGAGGCACGTGCTGGGGAAGATAGTTGGCGGTCGAAATTCGGTTCTGACGCGCTGAGGATCTTCAGTGGGGACAATTCATTGCCCGACATGATGCGGGAATGCCGTTGCTTAGGAGGGGACATGACGTTCTCCTTGCCGGGTCTTGAGGATGGACCAGCGTCGATTTCGAGATGGACGGCGGCAGAGGAACTGGTAGTGGCAGTGGTAGCGTAGGATGGGGGGGTGGTAGAGGTGGTGGTGGTGGTTGTGGAGGAGGAGGAGGAGGATTGCTCCGTGTATACATGAACTTCGTACTGGTCGAAGTGACGCCGGCTGGTGGGCGGTGTAGCGAGGTTCAGGGTCGATTGCTTTGTGGGTGAAAGTGGCGATGCCATAGTGCACGGCGAAGGGTGGAAAAGATTGGAAGTTGGGAGGAGAGAAGGGTAGATTCGTTCGAAGCAAAGCTGTTGGTATTTTTTAGGACCAAATTATGATTGCCCGAGTCTGTTACCATCGTCATGGTAGAGGAAGAAGTTCGTGGTGGTACTGCCAATACAGGAAGAAGTACACGTGTATCTGCTACTAAGGTAAGGTAGTTACAGTGGCCTTGTAACTGGCCCTTGTTTGGATATTGTTGACCCAGCAACTTCCTGCACGTTCCTTACAGCATCCAGTTTTACCATTGGGCTCTGTAATTGGCTTCATGCACGCACCAGAGTCAGTGAAGCGTGCTGGTTCCTGCCAATGGATCGTAGAACTGCAAGGTACACTGACAGGTCAACGTAGCAATTTCCAATGTTTGGCTGGAAGTTGCCAGGGCCCTCTGGAGTTCAAACACTGCAAATTGGAGGGACATGCTCCCCCACATACTGGAAATTTCAGAATGGCTTGGTCCGTGTGTTGAAGTCTATTTGATACTGTGCATAGTTGTCTCCTGTATGTCCGCGTCAACCAGATATACGAAGGGACTGATTAAGTCGGCTAAAATCAAATTTAATTAACTAGATACTATGCTGGACGAAGAAGGGACAAAGGCAGAAAATATTGAGGAAAATGAACATGTACGATGCAGAAGAACAAAGAAAGACTGAAAAAAGAGGAAAAGAAAAAGTAAAAGAATCCAGTCAAGGGCAGACTGGAATAAGCAAAAAATTGATGATTCAGGGGGGGCTCGATCCCCCGACCTTCAGTGTGTTAGACTGACGTGATAACCAACTACACCACCGAACCATTGAATACTTGTGATGATACGTGACCCAATTGGAACTAAGAGGGTTGTGTTACAGGCTGATGTTCCAGGTCCACTGTGGAGTGAGGCACCAAATGTTCCTATCAGTTGTGTTCAGTGAGGCCCAGCACGAAGACGAAAAGAATAGAAAAGAAGATTGGAAAAAAAGAGAAGAAAAAGAGAGCTGGGCCTAGAAATTACTAGTTGTTATCCCGTCCCATGACCACATAGCATGCCGTATTGCACACGAGTTTGTGTGAAATAACAAGACAAAATCCACAAAGGGTCAGTAACAAGGACATCAAAGGTGCTGATAGTGGAAAGCATACGTAGACTAAGTGGACAATGGGACAAAGAAGGAATCCAAGTCAAGGCACATTGCATATTCATGTTGATACAAGAGTGGCAAACGGCGCAGGTCCGAGTATCCATTGTCTACAACAGTATTCACATTATACAGTCTTCGGCCAGGCAAGTGGGGACGCTATGCTTGAGTAGGGGATGGCTGATGTCCCAGCCAAAACGGATATCAACTTTTATTTAGAAGGGCGACCGCGACTTTCCAGAGACGCCCAGCGTGTATAAAGTACAAGAGTCACGGCCCAAAACATGGCAGCTAGCTACCCAGCCCACTAGGGCAGTCGAAAAGATTGTCTTCGAGGGAAGCCATAGCCAAAAAGATCATCTCCCACTTCCAAACGCATCCAGAGCGTCCGTCGCTTACTTCTGGTTCTCCGGGCGGAGAGCACTAAAACGGTGGCATCAAGGTCAGCAAAACATGAACAGGACCACAAAGAGAGAGCTGGGGGGAGCTCGAGAAGAAACCGAAAACGTCACATACCGAACGGCCTTGCCAGCCCGCCAGATCTCCAGGTTGCGGATCTCCTCCATCTCGGCCTCGAACTTTTGCCTGTAGTCCTTCTGGCTGTTGTACTCGAGCGAGCGCTTGGTCTCAGTGCCATCCTCAACCGCGTCGTAGAGCTGGTTGAAGACGGGCTTCAGGGCGTCCTTGAACCGGGGGGTCCAGTCGATGGCACCGCGGCGGGCCGTGGTCGAGCAGGCCTCGTACATCCAGTCCATGCCGTTGGCGCCGATGAGGGGGTAGAGAGACTGGGTGGCCTCCTCGACGGTCTCGTTGAAGGCCTCGCTGGGGCTGTGGCCCCGCTCGCGGAGCACCTCGTACTGCGCGAGGAACATGCCGTGAATGCCGCCCATCAGGCAGCCACGCTCACCGTACAGGTCCGAAATGACCTCCTTCTCGAACGTGGTCTCGTACAGGTAGCCGGAGCCGATGGCCACGCCAAGCGCCTGGGCCTTCTCGCGCGCCTTACCGGTGACGTCCTGGTAGACGGCGAAGGATGAGTTGATGCCACGGCCCTCGCGGAAGAGGGACCGGACGGTGCGGCCGGAGCCCTTGGGGGCCACGAGGATAACGTCGATGTCGGAGGGGACGTCGACCTTGGTGATATCCTTGAAGACGGGCGAGAAGCCGTGGGAGAAGTAGAGGGTCTATTGGATTTGGTTAGGTTTCTACTTCCACAAAGTGACTTTTTCTTCCGAAAAGAGACCGACAAGAGTCGGTCTAGTCAGATGTAACGCACCTTGCCCTTGACGAGCTGGGGCTTGATGGAGGGCCAGGTCTCGCTCTGCGCCGCGTCGCTGAGGAGGTTCATGACGATGGTACCCTTGGAGATGGCCTCATCGACATCGAACAGGTTCTTGCCGGGAACCCAGCCATCCTGGATGGCATCCTCCCAAGACTTGCCGTTCTTCCGGACACCGACAATGACGTTGAGGCCATTGTCACGGAGGTTGAGACCCTGGCCGTGACCCTGAGAGCCGTAGCCAATGAGGGCGAGGGTATCGTTCTTGAAGTAGTCCTGAACTGGTTGTCAGCATGATCGTCCACTTGGTAAAGAGGTTATTGTGTTTCCTCTGACTCACCAGGAGCTTCTCCTGAGGCCAGTCGGCACGCTCTGTCCGTCACATTTGTCGTCAGCTTGAAGGTCATGCCACTTTATCCTGAGAGGCCTTCTCAAATCATACCGTAGACGTCCTCCTTGTGGCCGGCAAAGTCAACGGTCTTGACACCGCGGGTCTGCTGGCGCTGGACGGGGGCAGCGAAGGCCTTGGAAACCTGGCCGGTGGCCCGGACCAAGCTCCTGGCGGCGACAAAGGTGCGAGTCTGGGTGGAAGGAGCCGTAAATTGGCGGGCCATTGGCGACCGCAGCGCCTTGGAAAAGCTTCGGGAGGCCATTGCGACTGTAGTTTGAGGGGAGATGTGTCTAGAGAAGACGGAAGAGAAGAAAAAAAAGAAGAGTGGAACGAGTTGGTAGGAAAAAGAGACGGTCAAGGTCGGAGGAAGTTGATCGACATCCACTTTGTTGGAATGGGGGAAATTTTTTGCTGGCCGGCGTGGTCTAGTCAGAGCTTCCCCGACTTCGGCCTCTGTTGATGAAGGGGACCAGGCCCCTAGTCCGGTGGGGATATTAGCCGGGGTCATAGCAGGAAGGTAGTAAGGACTTCGATTACAGACATGATTTGGCCGTTGAGCTATGTAATGAAGACTTGGCTCCCTACAACTGGGTTCCCGGATCGGTTGTGTGGAGCAACCGCCGTAATCCGAAAACGTACTAGACGCACCTCCGTACAACGTACAGTCAGGACTTCCACCGATTTAGCAACTGACACATCGGAGGCTTTTGCATCAGGAAGAAATGAGGCCTCGAGAAGTTGTCCCCTCTTCTTCCGTTGTCCTGGTATCTACAAAGTACGAAAACTGTCTCGTCTCAGGAGTTGAAGAACGGGCAAAGTACTGAACCATCCGTTCGTCAACCTCAGATACCAGTATGCTCAAGACACAGCAGAAAACGACCGACATGTGAACCGGAAATTCTAGTTAATCGACAAAATCGCCCAAGAATCCAAAATCTTGCATCTTGCCACCCTGTCTACAGTGACCTCTGGCTGGACCCAAGGAAGCGGACGCATAAGAGTGAAGTGCTATTATCCTCTGATCATGAACACGCTACGGATGGGTCCCCCCGGTTGAGATATACTACTACCTTTTGGCAATCGAAAGACAAAAAACAACGCCGAAGAATGCTCGTAGTGCATACACCTTCCATGCTCCTCGGTCAACCTCTCGATATCAAATTGCCCTTTCCCTCCGCCTCCAGAATCCCTTTGGCCCACTCCAAAATCCCGTTCGCCCTTCCGGCTGGCCTGCTGCTCCTTGGCCTTCGCCAGCGAGACTGTTGTGTCCTCCACCACCGGACGAACCCGGGAAGGAAGTTCTTCCCGTAGAGAAGTGATTATGGGGCCCAGGCGTGAAACATGGTGCTTCTGCCCAAGATAAATCGCGGTGAGAATCCTATTTCAGCACCCGATCGTAGGTTATACCCTTTACCGTGCCACCTCCCATTGCCGTCCGAACATTTCTCTTGAACCCTTCCCTGTTCGAGCGTAGATCGTCGGCCGCTTCTTTGTTGAGCGGATCGGAAGCGTTCGGTTCCAGGAAGAGAAACTGCACGTAAAAAAAGAATTCACCCATTATTAGTACTGGGTACGTTTCGCCAAGATCGGAGATGGGGCCCATACCTGCAGACCGACAATCACGGCATTCAAGTTTAGAACTGGCTTCCAATCCTCACGCAAGATATTAAGGCACACCTTGCCCTCCAGGTCGATGTTGGGGTGGTAAATCTTCTCTTTGCAGCGCACCTTGGGCGGGTCGTGTGGGAAGTTTTGGTTGATGTCGAAGGTAAATGTGAAGCGTCCCGTGCGGTACATGCCCTCGTCAGGCTCGATCGTCAGTGTGAAGTGGAGGATGTCGTCGGGGTCCGGGAAGTCCGTCTTCATGGTGCTACCGAGCGACAACTCTGACAGGTCTGGAAGAGAAGTCCATAGTCAGCGACCCATGGGTAAGAAAGCAGGACTCGGTCGGCTAGTTGAAAAGCGAAGACCCTCCATATCATTATGATGGGACTAAGCCAGGACGAATGCGCAATCGCAGAACAGACATACCCTTCTGAACCCGTAGTTGCGCCGCAGTAACCTTCTTCTTCTTGCCCCCGGCAGCCGCGATCTCCGCATTCTCCGCCTTTTGCTGCTCCTTTTTCTACGAGGACGTCAGTTTCCGCTTTCATATAGACACGCCGTTAAGGAGTCGGGTATATAGTACTACCATAGACCAAATCTTCAACATTTTGCCTCTGGCGACGGATCCCCCGCCAATGTATTACCCCTCTATCAACGTAGTGCAGACCTGATAAAACGACGGCTTATGCGGGGAAGTCCAGCCTCTTACTCAGCGCCACCAAGCGAAGTTGAATTCAGTCAACGAAAAGAACGGTAATCTGGTAGAAATTGGCGGGTAAAGAACTGCGTTTTCGTCGAGGGAACGTCTGTTCGCTGGGTCGGTGTCAGCTTTGTCGGGTTTGTTCGCACTGCCGCCTGATGGCAGAGAATACCTTAGGTACCTTACCTTCGGTTGCGGAGGTAATTACTCGATAAGATAAGAAGCGACGGGACTCAATGTTCCGCTCCGAGGTCCCCACCCACCCAGAGTCTAAGGGAACTTCTATCCGTATACCTCAAGCCTGAGGTATCAAATGCCCGACTATCCACTTGCAACGAATTCCATGTGCCAACAGAGTATTCTCGTGTCCATGCGGAATGATATGATTTCATATCTGGACACGACAGCCACTTAACAATGAACATTTCAACACGAACGGAGAAAAGGCTGTTGTTGAGCCAGCAAAATATCTACGTGGAGTTGCGAATTTGATGTCACCACTCTGGTCTTACGCCAACGTCTCGCAAGAATGGGACATCAAAAGGCAGAAACGAGCACGGTCGTTAAAGAAGTATGCTAGCTATTATCTGAAAAAGAAAGGCAAAAAGGCAAAAAGCTTTTTGAGGTATCCTTGTTGTCGCCCGAGTCCAAATCTGCGGAAGGTTCGTTTATTACAAGAAAAAAGATCTACATACAATAGAAACAATAGAACGCCGCCATATCCATGACAAAGTGAGCTTCCCAACTTGGGCAGCAAATCTACATCGGGTTCGGTTGCCCCGATATCCGCTCGTCGCCAAGCGCGCGAGCTTTATGTCATGCCACGTGTCATATACCACTGGCTTGCCGCCGAATGATGGAGACGCCCAGCTGTGTTTTTTTTTTTACCGTCTGGCAATGCAGCACATGATACCCGTCTTGCCCAAGAACCAGAGGAAGCCGGTGAAGCGGACAACAGAGAGCACAGCGGTGGAGTACAGCAGGAAGGCGAAGAACGTCGAAGAGCGTGCGGTGACATCATCCTGCAATTTTTTGTTAGCGGGTTGCATTAGGACCACGGACCTCATGGAAGCCAGAGGACTGAGCGGATTCTTACCCCAAAGCCGAACGAATTAAAGTTATCGGTGGTGATGAAGACGATGAGGGCCATGTTACTGAACAGCCAAGAGATGACCAGGCCTGTCCGGAAAGACTTGTACGAGTCTTCGATGTCTTTATTCTCGGACTCAGGTTCCTCCTTGAAGGGTTCGAGGGCGCGCCGGACCGTCTGCTCAAACTGGCTGTCGATGTCCTCTTGGGGTTTGTCAATCTCCTCCACGACGGCCTCGTTCTTCTCGCCCTTGCTGATTTGGGCCGAAGGGAGAGCCTCGGCCTTGTCCGATCCCTTGGTACCCCAGGACACGTCGTGCCAGTTGTTGAATGCGTAGACCATGAGGACGTTGATGTAGGTGGACATGAGGACCAGGTAGTAAGGGAAGGAGTGGAACATGTGCCAGGGATCCAGGTACAGGAACGAAGCGATGAAGTTCAGACCGTAGATGGTGATCAAAGCCACGAGAATGACACCGGCTGCATTGTCACCGCCGAAGAAGCTGTTGACGAAAGCGCTGCCGGATTCCAAGCTGATCTGCTCCCCAATGGGCCTCTCGAACGCGCGAGCCACCAGGTAGCCGGAGAGAACCAGGATATAGGTCTGGATGAACCCGAAAACGCAGAACGAGGCGATATAGGTGAACTTGGAGCCCTTGGGACGATTACCCAGTGCCAAGACGAACTGGATGATAAGGAAGGCCGCATAAGCGTACTGCAGGATGGAATTGATGATAGGCGTAGCGTCGTTGCCAAAAGGCCAGGCAGTGTGAGGGGAGGAGGTGGCCGTCCCTTCAGTAGGCGTGCCGACGAGATCCATGATGATCTTCGTGGTCAAAAAGTACGAAGCCAAGCTGAACCAGGTGAAGATGACGTTGAGGAAGTTGTAGAGGAGCTGAATGTGGAAGAAGAACATGCGGACAATGTTGTGGCCGCTCTTGTACATCCGGCCGAAATGCATCAGGGAGTAGAGGGAGGCGGCAAAGGAACCGTTCAGCCAGCGACGACGCTGACTGATGAACTCGGCGGCACCTTCAGGAACATCGGTCTCGCCCTTGGCGGCCTTAATATAGCTAAGGTGCCACTTTTGTCCGGCCTTGGCCACGAGCTCGAAGCAGAGAATTCGGTCTTCGGCCAAGAACATGTTCTTCTTAAAGATATTCATACCGTCAATACCCTTCTTGCCCAGGATCTTCGAGAGCGTGTGGTCGCCGTGGAAGTACTGCTCCAGGGGCCGACCCATGATCGCTCGGAATCGGTAGGCCGAGAAAGCACCCGGCAGCACGGTGACGTAGCCAAACGAGCTCTCGAGAGGCTTATCCAGGATATTGGAGATCTTGTACTCGAAGTTCTGCACCGCGACTAGCGGATTGAGCAGTTTCTTGCCGCCTTTGCCCAACATGGCGTGAATCTCACCGCAGGCACCACCAAGGTCCTTATCGTTATAGAAGCCCTCCCAAAGCGCGAGCAGAGAACGGGGGCTCGGCTTCGTGCCAGCATCGAGCAAGATGCAAATCTCCGGATTCAGAATGCGGCCGAAGGCGTTGAAGAGCCAGCGGTGAGAATTGATCTTCTTGCTGTTCTTCTGCTTGAGGCAGAAAATGAACTGAACGGGCGGGAGAGTGGATGGGCCGTCGTCAACGGGCCGGACGAGCTGCTGGCTGGGGGTGACCGACAGCTGACTGGTGTACTCGAAGATGTGTGCCACCGTTTCCTTGCCGTCGACGTCCTTCTTGACGACTCCGTCTTGGTAGATGCCGACGGTGGCCAAGATGTCCAGGACGTTCTTGTCGGCCTTCTCGATGCCGTCGAAGACGAGGCATACGACGATCTTCTGCCAGGCTGGGCCGCCCTTGTTCCAGAATGTCGACTTTTTCAGGTTGACAATGTCCCGGATGTTCTGCATAACACCGTGCAGCGTTCTGGAAACCAGGACCTTATCTTCGTTGTAGTACGTAATGGCGATGAGCATCTCGGTATGTCGATTATACATGCGAGGGCGCAAATCGTAACCATTCTTCAGCGTGAAGTCGTTCGGGTCGCAGGTTGCGGCGGTGTACCGCATCTTCATGAATTCTTCGCTGCCGCCCTCGACGTCGCGGTATTTGGGCTGAACGGCGTTCTTGATGGCGCTGGGCACAGGGTAGTCGATGCTGAGAACGGAGCCCTGGTTGAGCTTGATCTTTCTGGTGGCGTAGCGCTTGAGCCCGCCCGTTTGGGCGCCAGGTTGTTGGCGGCGGACCCAGCTCTCGTCCGAATCTACCGTAGATGCCGGTCGGCCGTATCCGAATCCTCCGTTGTCGGAGCCAAGCTCCTGGCGATACCCCGTGGACATACCGAAGGAGTCAGGCGGGACAGGGGTCCGCGCACCTGCGCCGGGGGCGTATGATTCGGTTAGACTATAGGCAGAAACTGGGCGAGCTGGGGGTTCTTGGGCTCCGAGGTGGTTATCGAAAGGGGATGCGGCTTGGGGTCCGAGGTGATTATCAAATGGAGAGGGAGCCCGGCCGTGGGGATCTCGCAGGAGAGATTGGCCAGCCTCGTCGACGCCATCTTCTTGGGGAGGTAGATGATACTGCAGGCATTCCCGATTTAGTTCGTATTCTGTACCTCTGGCAAGCTAGGCACGAGGAAATGTGTGAGGGGGGAAGAGAAGGAAAAGAACTTACTCTGCTTCCATTTCCGGGAGGCAGATCCTGCAGGTTGTGGTCCTCAAATTCGCGGCCACCGCCTGGGCCGCGGTATGCCATGATTGCTTCTGTTCAAGAGGAAGAGGAAGTAGCTCCAAAGATGGTTCGCGTCAATGCTAGGTACGGCCAAGAAAAAGAAGGCAGTCAGGCTTCGAAAAATGGGCTCGATGCTGATTGCCTCTTCTCGCCGTCAGTGTTGATGATCAGAGAAGGCAGTGAGGAGAATATGGTGGGTTGTCGTGTTCGTTCCAGACAACCTCACGCGAAAACCCCCAGGGAATCACAGATCGTCTAAGAGACAGTACCGGCTGAAACGCAAATCGGGTGTTCGTTGGCAGCAGGCCCAGTAGAAGCGAGTGATGAGTGATGAAGCGAATGGATGGGGTAGGAAGAATAATATGAAGATTTCAGGGTTGACTTGGTTTCTGGAGGTCGGAATTAAGGGGTTGGATGGGAAGGAAAGAAGGAGGCCTTGCGTAAACGCCTTGGGACGACGCCATCGGTTGGCAAAGGAAAAAAACCTGGACAGGGGATCTTACCAGGAAGGGGGGCATGCAGCTGGCTTTGGGAGGGAAATGGAGACATGCACGCACACACCACCATGTTGACACTAGTGTAAGGTAGCCAACGACAACGCAGGAGCCCGCTGGACGCTGCGCCGGTTCCTGTGGCTTAGCAACGTACTACCTGAATAGCTGGACCATTCAACGTAAAAATTTCCATCCCCATCAGTATAAGGTATCCATACCTAAGGTACCTTATTCGTACTTCGCCAGGTTGTATCTATCATTAGCACAACGCCTGAGCTAGACCTACACATGGTATGGGGTACATTGTTAGAGGAGGTCTAAAGTGGAGAACTTGTTCCATCCAGGGGCAAGAAATGCCGACCAGCAGTAGAGCTAGGTACCTTAGAGTTTGGTTGAGGGAGGAGTAAGTACTTAGTACCCGTACCTGCGTGTACTCTGACATAAGGTACCTACCTCCTAGTTCCTACCACGACAGCCGAAAGAAAACACGTATTCCCCTGTTACTTGTGGTCCTAGCACGGCAGCATATGGCATATTACATATCCCATCAAAAATGTTAAGAAGCTAGAATAATGGATGTGCCGGGCTGATGCTGTTGATGAATGCCACCAAAGATGGAGTGGAGGGTGGAGGGGCATTGAGAATCCCAAATTGGAGAACAAAGGCGTAGAACTACGCCACATCCATTTCTTGCAGTGTAATGTAAGCTGACATCCTTTTGGGAGCTTCTAGATGTGACAGTTTGTCCGACTTGGAACCGACTTGATGATAAACGTACTTGGAATTATCGGTTTCAAAGTCACGTACGGTCTTTCCAAACACCAGGTACGTACTTCGGAGAAGCGTTTCAGGGAATAGGTCGGCTGAGTCACGGATACGAGTTTTGCATATGTAAAATTACCCTAGGACCAAAGTCAAGGATTGGCTCCTCTGGGCAAGTGAAACAATTCCTTCACCTTCCGAGGCACAACAAAGAAGGGAAAAGAAATATATGAAAAGTAGAAAAGTCCAAAAATTAGAATCAAACCCTCCAACATCTTAGCCACCGAGTAAGGTAGATTCTGTGTCTTGTCCTTACTGAGTAGATATATATCCAACTGGAGTCGAACTTTCCGTGTAAGCCTACATACATCGTGGAGCAATCTTGCACTTCAAGTTGTATGTCTCGAGACTGCACGACCGGCGCTCACCTTGTTTCAAGACTTTGGGATGTCTAACCCATCTGCATTTCTCTATTAGAGATATGATGAACATGCTGCCACCAGACCGTCGCTCAACGCAGAGCATATCGACGATCAAAGACAAATCGGCCATAGATAGGGCCGGTTTCACCCTGTCTTACAATGAGGCCTTGAAATAGCCAAACTGACAATGCCAGGAACATCACCTGCAAGCCAGGCGTGTCTTCAAGATGCGGTATCGACGTATGAAAGAACTTTAGATCAGTGCCGCGCACCCCGAGACAGATGTGCGCGCTCAGGAGAAGCTTCACTGGGAAGATACCAGAAACCTTTTGTAGATTTGGTATTTCATGTTGAAGCCGCAATGATCACTGCAGGACCGCGTATACAAACTTGCCCCCATAGTTGCGTTTATTACTTACGCAAAGGTTCTTGGTAGGGAAAGCAGCAATCGACCTGAGTTATGAACGTCTTGTCCTTTACTCCGTGGATGTTCGTCACCTGCCTAATATTATATGAAATTGCGAGAGAATTACGATGGACGTGCAGAAGTCGACAGAGGTTCTGGACACTAAGGTACCAACAGAACTTGCCAAGGCTAAGGTACCTAAATATGGGCCCGGGATATGAAGGGAGCCGGCACTGATGTCCAAAATAGACTGGTACTACTTCGTACTAACAAAATACTCGGGATTAAAGGGGGAGGTGCGAAATAGGAAGGCTTGGGAATGTGGACGAAGTTCCCCGGACTAACGCTGTGAAGGGCTCAAAAATCGTCGAAGACAATGGCGGATAGGTACATAGCATAGTTTGCTGTCCTACAAGCATCCGGGCGAGAACGAATTGATGTCTACGTGCCGTTTATTGTTACGTTAGAGGACATGCCTGGCTTTCCCGTCGACCTGAAGCCACGATAAACTGCTAAGATGAGAATCACCGAGTATTCTTCACAGGTGAGAGGAATATCATTGCCTGAGGCCGAATCCAGAGTCTCCATGGAAGGTATGCCGTCAAGAATCTGCAGGCCAAGATCCCGGCATAGCAGTGTCGTGGAAGTCGACCAGGACCAAGGCCGCAAACATATGGATCGTCCGTCTGATAAGTGTAGTGAACGACGTGACGCCAGCAAGTCCAAGCTATTCCTACCGGCATTGACGTCGACTCGAGAGAATACTGATAACGGCGCTGTCTCTGACACCGGGGCCGCTTCGTCGTGGGGTTGATCGACGAGCGGAACCTACGGAACGGTCGAAGAACGCCTCCAGGTAGGTAAACCGCTCACAAACCCTAACAGTTGGCAGGAAGTGGGGGATTAGGCAAGTTCTCGCCTCATTTTCCAATTGTTTAGAGGTTTGATGTGTGCATGATGACCGCCTCCACGCCCTGAGTGGTGTGAGACGAGGTAGGATTTCACATAGAGCGTAATCATGGAGGTGTTGAACTACAGGGTTCTTCTGGGTCTGTCGGCAAAATGAAGATGCTTCCTTCCGCTGATGCTCTTTTGAAGTACGTACCTGGGCTCTGAACGCGGATGAATATCTCGCGCGTTAACGCCTTCGTTATTCCGTCGGCCACCATTTCCGCGCTCGCAACGTAATCGACCTCAATCATCCCCTGCTGCCGTGCCTCCCGAAACCACGTGCCGCAGCCGGGTGTTCAACGTGGCGATCTCGGCGTTGACTAATTAGATTTTGATTATTATCGCATAATCTCCTCAAGATAGACCGCCGCCCCTCTGCTTCTTCCTGGCTCTTATCTCCTCCACATCAGCCTTCAATGCTGTGTCTGACCGAAGTATCCGCTTGATCAGCCTTCCCATGGGGCCTCGAGGAGCCCACCCTGGAACAGCCTGCTTAGGAAATAAGTACCAGCAGTCTTCAATATCGTGACGTGGTCTGCAACACACGCGGCACTTTTCTGTGCGGTCGTAGGATAGCCTTCTCTTCGATTGGGTACAGTTGGCAGGTTGCCTTCCATCAGGATTGGCATCCTTCTTAGCCTTCCGGCTGCTGCGCCCTCCTCTTTTTCTACCCCGTCTTCGGCCTCCGGCGACCGGCTCCTCCTCGATGCCCTCGCCGAGATTGGGACCGGGAAGGCGGCCGCGCGGCTGCTGCGCGCTGCGTCTGTTTTGGATGTATATCTTCGCTTTCGCTACTAGCAAGGCCGGGGTCACTGTGTTGACATCAACGCGCTCCTCCGTTATATCCGCCCAAACTCCGGCAATCGGCCGGAGGCAGTCGAAGAAATCCTTCACCCACACGCAGGCCTCCCGTACCTCCCCCACCTCCACCTGGTGGCATTTAAATACCAGCCGTTGCCACTCGTCAAGCCACTCGTCGAGCTCTATGAGGTTATTCGGAACATGTCTTCTGTGCTGTTCGTAGTTCTCGAGGGAGCGCTGCTTGCGGTAGGGGAGGAAGGGGGCGGCATCAGATCGAACAGCTTCATAAATCTCCCGCGGAGGCCCCCATCCAATAGGAGCCGATGGTTGTTCGGCGCGAGAGACATTACCAGCCAAAGGTTGACTGGACGTATCCCATCTTGGTATTCATCATAATACCGTTCATTTTCTTCATATTCTTCCCAAAGTCGAAAGTCGAATTGGTAGGCGGCTCTCCCGGAAGCTGTCAGATCACTCGCCTGCCCGTTCCAGTGATTGAGGACATCGTAATCGTCCAAGTCAGGCCAAGGAAAGGGGTCTAATGCAGGCGCATCGCGGGGATTATCAGGTCGTAAATATTGCCAAACTCCGTGTCTCTTGGCTAGCACTGCGTACTCATCGCGCCAGAGCTCCCAGTCCTCGTGGGTGGTGTAGATTACGGTGGGATACTCAGGCATCTCACCAAACGGTGGAATTGATCGTGTAGTCGGTTGTTCCGAGTTGTAGAGGGTTCAATCGGTCAAATGGATCGTTGTAGCGGCTTGATTAGGAGAGATGGCCTTAATCGGTAGGTATAAGGAAAAAACAGTATTAGATAAAGACAAATGAGACTCTTAATTCACAAGCCAGCGTTGAAGGCGTAAAACGGTTGATATGATTAATAAACAGGGCAAAACAGTCGTACATCTGTTGATTCAACTGGAGCTTGTGAACTGATTGAGAGGGAAAATGGGTCCCGAACCCTTCCCAACCTGCCGATCAACCGGCATCTTAGTTGTTCCGTCTCCGTAGCAGCCCTTGTGCTTGTGGGAGGCCTGTGCGACACATGGGCGCATGTTCTCAAGGCGAAACGAGAAAGTCGACTAGTCAGCCAATCAACTGTCTGCCCTGACAAGTTTACACCGGGCCGTTTTATTAGTTATCGGCGTTTTGGGTCAACACTTCCCAATACGGCAACTCATTGAACAATGTACCTGCTAAGTGCCTCAACTTTGCTTCGCGGTAATCAGTCCCGCTTTTCCTCGCCTCTGTAAACGCCGTCAGCCAATGATTGAAGTTCCTTGTGTTCCCCCTATGCATCGCCAATGTGTACTGATACCTTTGGCGGGCCTGAAAGGGACATACGAAGTAATGTCAAGCTTGAGCGGTTGCCCGTCTCTTTTGGAGGATAGATACCAAGGTACCTTAATAGGGGAACTAATACCGAAGTACCCCCTACTGGGACCGTTGGTTCCCTGGTACGGAGGAAATGGGTAAGTACACGGATACACTGGAGGTACTTCGTACGTGGCCTCGCAACTTCACTGTTGGTGCTCTCCCCCTCCCCTCCTTTTGCCATTCCCTTCCCCGTCTCGTCCTTGTCCTCCTTGGAAAGACCCGCACCCTGCCTAGGACCGCTCTGACCCCATTGTCTCTCGTTTTCTTCACTGACTTGTTGACTGACTGTTAGGCGACCGCCTTTGCTTCTGCACATCAATCAGGAGCCCATCATTACCCAGGGCCAGCCATCCGACGAACCAACACAATCGACTTCGATCTTTCCATTTTCAATTATCGCAAAGGCCGACAATCTATCTTCGTCCATCGCCCTTGATGTCCTTCTCCTTCGTTGCCGCATAGTTGGCGCTTCTCTTCTCGAGCTAGCCTCACAATCCACTCGTTTCTAAATAGCTTATCCCTCCCTCTCCGTCCTTCTCTTCCTCTCCGCCACGTTCCGGATATCCCTCGACTTCGTCACTCATTCCACCCGTATCCATTCAGTCGTCAGATATCCATTTCACCAACGTATATCCTATCCGCTATTTCTTCATATTTACCATCCTGTGGATGCAAAACTTGATACACATCCCCCTATACAATCGTCTATACAATTGTCTAGTTCTCTTCTCCATCGCGCACTGAAAGCGAGATTCTCGTGCGTCGACATCTTCTTCGGCCGTCAATCGTTTCATTGATTCTACCGCATTTCCTGGAGGAGTCGCGTCGGCTCTATTGTGGGTGGCTATGGTCAAATTCGATCCCAACCTCCACTTTCGATCAGTGGAGGAATTGAATGGCGGTATGTACGCAACCCCCTTATTCGGACGCCCGTCTCGAAGGCCTCTGTGCTAACAGGCACTGTCTACAGCCCTCCTCTTCTCTAGACAGGAAGGATGTGTCGACTGCGCAAATGTCAGATCACCCTCCTGCCCGCGTTGTCCCTCAGGCGAGGTTTGCTCCTTGACCATCCCGTCATGTAACCAATGCGCCAGGGCGATATGCATCGAGGACGATACCGCGCCCAACGGAGAGTCAAGAAGCAACGAAGGCGGTCCGAACACGGGCGCCATAGCCGGCGGTGTAGTGGGTGGTGTTGTCGTCATTGCCGTCCTCTCCTTCCTGGTATGGAAGTTCTGCGTCAAACCCAAGCGACGACAGCTCGATCAAGAACCGTACGGTAGCATGTCGGACGAGGGCACGGGCGTGGAAAAGGACCATAATCCTCGGCGTGACCACCGCACTTCTGTTCATACCGTTCACTCGATTGCGTCCACGGTCCTCACCCGCGCCTCGAATATCATTCAGATCGCCTATATCCCGGGCGTCACCAACCGAGCTACCCCAACATCACCCAACGTCCTCGTTCCGCCTGTTCCGCCCATCCCCATGCATGCTGCCAACTCTGCCGCCAACAGCCCTAGCTACGAGGATCAACACTTCTTCATGCCCGGCGACCTACGCAATTCGACGTACTCGGGCTTGTCCCAAGACAGCGATCGCCAATCCTACGCCCGCGGCTCGTACGCTCACCGCTCCAGCATTGCGCCCAGCATTGCGTCCACCATCTATGGCAAGAATGCCGTCGTGGTGGCTCCGGCACAGACCGGTATGAGAGCCAAGGCGGCCATGGTCAGCGTGAAGTCTATCGGTGGTTCCACCGGCAGCGGCGCAAGCACACCGCCTGTCCCCAGCATCGACTTTGAGAAGTATGAGGGAGCAGGGCCACGGGACAGCACATTCAGCGTGGGCTCTACGTTCCTGAACAATGCCAGCACCGCAACGGCCACGCCGGCTCGTGCACAGGTCGTTCGACTCGGCAGCGGTAATCAGGTGAAGCAGGTCAGCGTCGGCACGAGACCCGAGCTGGTAGGATCTATGCCCCGTAGTCCAGGGACGACTTCGACGACAACGACCTCGACAAACATCCGGGACTCTAACTCCACCACCGTCGTTGGCGAGAGTCCGGCTGCTGACCAAGGGCCCTTCTCCGATCCACCTTCATCTCCGGGCGCCAACAAGAGCACCACGAGCCTTAGCGCTGTCATTGAGGAAGCCACGAGACGAGCTGCTTCTGGTCCAGACAGGAGATCGAAGCGTCACAGCACGCAAGAGCGCGGCGCCAGTCCCTTCGACGACGAGCATGCGACACGAGACTAGACGGGACATTTTGGAGCAGCGCATCAGCCCTCTCCACAATCACCACGATCTATGCTGTACCTATGTCACACATGACGACTGGCTCACGATGTTGGGTCTCCAGTTTCTTTTTTCTTTCCCTATGTCTGTACGGGGGCATTTTTTTTAACGTCAATATTCTCAGACCTGGTGGGGAAGACGTGTATGGATCTCTCACACAGCAAGCTCGAATGGACGGTAGCTTTGGGAAGGCCTTTTTTTCCCTTTTTTTTCTTTTTTTTTCTTGAATTGGATTGGATTCTCACCTAGGGCGTCTGGGTACGTACATTCTCCCCCGAACGAGGGCAGAGACGAAATGCGGCTTTTTGCTTGTGTCCCTTCAACCTCTGCCGTACGCATGGGCTGCGGCCTTATTTGACCGAAAAGATACGACTATTCCCATACCATGCCTCCTCGTGTCTTCATGGTTACTTGCATCTTGCCGTGATCCCTTCTACTGAACTGCTCAGCTCCATCCCTGTCGCATGGCGACCGACACGACAGATTGGGGCGCTTGCCACAGAGCACACATGCTGCAACCATGGGGAAGACTTGAGTTTTAAAGAGTCGTTAGCGAGCCGGCTTGTTTCGTAAGACATCGGACTGGGCTTAGACCTGGCCTCGAGACACCGATTCGAATGTAACAGAACAATCAGGGCCTGCGGTGAAACGAGGGGCGAATCCCCCTGGCACGGCGCATTGGCAAGTTCTCTTTCACGATTTGGCCTGGCCTGTGATGCTTCTACAAGTTCGGATGATCTCGGTTGGGCCTAAGTGAGGGGGAGAACACGGCGTGGTGGGAAGAACGGCGTGGTGCGTGCTGCGGGCGGGGGGGGGGAGGGGGAGGGGTAGAAAGAGGGAGGATTTGGTTGGTACAAGGCTCAGGATGGCTGGTGCCGGTGTCCAGGCCGGGATTTGGAACAGCTTGTGTTGCGACCATGCCTCGTGTTAATGGTTTTCTTCTTTGTGTGACGGCGCTTTTGCCGCTCGGGTAGAACGAGAGGAGGGGCAGCGGTTGTGGCATCGTTGTACGGATAGGATAGTTAAATGGGACAGCTAACTACCTTGTCCGTTTCCGGAAGTTCAACGTCACATACTTCAGTTTCTATTGCGAAAGTGAAGCGGCCTCGCAAACTGTACCGTGACTCCCCTTTCTATAGGGTAGAGAGAGACTTCCCCCCTAGGACGGAGCTGAGGCGAATGCTAACCAGATTGGAAGTGTTGCAGGGCAATATCAGACTCCCTTCTTGTACGCTCCCACGGGATTTCGATCCATCGACAACAGTATCTAGGGCAAGCGCCTGTAGGACGTCAATGACTAGGAATATGTTTTTCAAAGCATGAAAACAGGCTCAGTCATTATCAGCTATCATCAGACAAGACATCGACTTGGGAGACAAGATGAACCGTGACTTGGTACTTCGTTAAACTTAGCCTCATTCTCTTCGTCTTGTGGCAGTGTCCCTCAGTGCATTTCCCCCTTGACCACCACCTGGCTCAAAAACCATGGAAACCAAGGATTGACCGGTGTGCGTCCCAGATCTAACAGCCATGTCCCTAGAGAGATATTTAACGCCCCGCCGGAACAGGACGGAGTATACGTTGTACCTGCTTTTGCCTTGACCGCCTGTCGCGGATCGGATCGTGGTGAGGACTCTGGTGGCATAACCGTGCGGCTCGGTCAAGCCATCCTTGCTATCTTCTTCTCAATCCACGGCCAGGGCTGACCTGCTCGTTAAATCTTACTTATTCAGCTCGCGAGAGCTTGCCATCTAGGCGGGATGCAGAGAAAAGGAAAGCGCCCGGGATGTGACCCAGTTGCAGACTCCAGTCGGCAGAGTACGCTGTTTGTCGGGGTCGACTCCGGGTGGCTATGTATGTAGTCGCAGGTGCTCATGCAAGGCAGAGAGAGAGACCAGACTGGACTGCATGGATGAAGCGGCGGGATGATATGCTATGCGTAGAGACGGGATTTCAAGGTCCTCGCAATCTTTAGTGAATCAACCCTCGACGTCGCAATCATCCCCTGTCCTCGATTAGGAAACGCAGGCCTTCCTTATTATTATTCCGCCGCACATGCCAGCATTGCGCTTAACGCCGGCTTTCACCATGACATACGGCATTTGGAACTCCAAAAGTCCCTTCCGCTCGCTCCTCGCCGTCGTGGACAGCAGAAAACCACCTGCCGAAACGGCACCGGATCCTTTTTGAGGAGCAAGCAGGTGGGACTCCCCGGACCGCACTGGAAACCCCTATGAACGGCCACCTTCCAGCTAATCCTCCGCTGAAATAAATGCTCTGGGTGCATGACCTTAGCCATAAACAAGGGTTTTTTTTTTTTTTTTTTTTTTTTTTTTTTTGCTGCGAGAGTGATTGTGACTGCTTCGGATAGGTGCAGTGTCAACCCCGAAGCGCTGTTGTAAGCCGCCTGCCCGAGCTGCATATGATATACGATAATTGTTTCGGTGTGAGAAGTGGAAAGCGACACAATAAAGACCACCCCGGGGTTACTTGACTTCTTCTTCTCCTTCTTTTTATAGTCATGATCGACGGCACTAGGGAGGCCTGTCAAGGTGAGCTAAAAGACGAAGACAACAGGAACATCCTGGAGGACTAGATCGAATAGCTAACAAGACTGAAACGAGTCAAAGAGCACGGACGTCTAACCATGAGAAGCAACAAGAAGGGCAATGTGGCCTGTGTACCGCATGCCGCAGGGGACACTGTAACAACTTCTACCAGCGACGTCTCGGCGAATACATACATCAACTTTGGTCCAGCCCATCTGCCATGGCCATGGAGAGCAGTTGCAAGCATGATCCCGGACCGTAGTATCGCCTGCAAAAATTTCTCGCGGGCGTTTAATGCTTCGCACGTGCTAGCGGACCCTTCCGGAGATGCTGCCAAGTTGCGTGGCGCTCTCCAGTCCGGTCCTGCTGTGTGGTGTCTTTGGCGAGAAGCGCAATGCAAATGCGAAGGGCGAACCGGGGGGAGGAAGAAGAGGACGAGGAGGGCTTAGCCACGACAGGCCTCAGATCCACATGGCTTCGTGCAGTGCGCTTGACACCCTTGTCTTGTCTCCCGCGTGATGAAATTGCGAATGAGAAGAGATAGACAGAGGTGACGGGGTAGATACATATGTAGCTCGTCTGTTTCTTTGCCGCTTGCTCATGCCCTAGTAGGTAGGTAGGTAGGTCTCTGACTGGGACGACCGGACGGGCTTCTTTGGGTCTGTTCTTCAGAGAGGAAATTACTGGGTTGCAGTGTTCAAGGGGGGAGAATCTTCAAAGTCTCACCCTGTTGGGGTTGGATAGAGGGAAGTTCCCTCCCGACTGGTCGAGTCCGAAAGGGAAAACAAGCGCACGGCCTTCAGCGGGGGGCCTTGGTCTTCCGGCCCCGTAGCTCTGACCGACCCTTGGAAGCGAAGAATCCAAAAACAACGTACGAATGGGTTTCCTCGGCAAGGATCGCAATATCACAATATCGCAATGGATGATGGTCCAATTCCCAGTCCCCAGCCGGGAGCCAGCGTAGTTTCCCGCCAAGGCCCTGGCTCATTGCGCAGTGCCGACAGAACCTCCGCCCCCCCCCAGGACCTAAAGCTTCAGTGAAGATCTCGGTGAGAAGACCCAGAAGAGTGGCTGAATCTCTGGCACAACTATCCCTGACCCGCCCCTCTAGGAGCCCTTCCTTCAACTCGCCGGATGAAAGAGGAGGGGCAGAAAAGGGGCTGACTCGTTTGGCGTTGATAAACAGTCGACCGCAAAGAAGATGACTACCATCCATCATATCTTCCTTGCGATATGGAGCCGAAGAGATGCAAATGAAGTTGAAAGAGAAAAACGAAATCACACTGGTAATTAGTCCCTTCATGATAAGGGAAAAGAAAACACCTACCCCCCCCCGGCCGAAGTAGCGCAGAACCCTCATCGTCAGCTCCTCGGCCTCCCACCCTCCCCATTTTCGCTCCGGTCCTCTTCCCCTTCCCCCATTCCCCCTTCCCCCCACCCCCACGCTGAACCCTGGACGACCGACTGCACACAGGATATGCGATGTGCGCATAGCTGATGGGGGAGGCTTGGTCTGTAGCGCCGCCGCCGTGTTTGACAACGCCACCCAGAAGAGATACCAGAGATACCGCCAGAAGACATGACGGCGGGGAAGAAAGAGCAAAGTGGACAGGGAGATCCTCTGCCTTAGGTAGAGCACTCCAGGAGGTATCCCAAGCCACACGATGGTAAGGTAGGTAGATAGAGATAGTAAGTACACATCCCAATGATCGTGTGGGAATGGTCGGTATGAACAAGTTCACTCGAGTGCCCTCCCTGCCCTGGTTGTCCTGTCTGTCTGTGGGCTTTTGCTTCCTTCTCGCTCCCGGCCACGACCACAAACAGCTCAAATCCAATAGAGACGCGGGTCCTTCCTCCGCCAAGAATGTCCATGAGATAAGCCGAATGAATACCTTAGGCGAATGGTGGGTGAGTGAGATGCGAACCAGCACATAAGATAGCTACACATAATGTCTGAATCTCAGTGTCATCGGAACCCCTTTAATCAATCGGCCAGTATTTGGAGGAGGCAGCAGCCAAACGTCGTAAGCGCTCCAGTCCTGAATTGAATCCGACATGTGAACTCAATGGGAGCCAGGTGGCAAATAAATAGAAAAAAAGAAAAAAGAAAAAGAAGCCAACCAGCTTTGCCCGGGTTTGCCAAGTCCACGGAGAGGGAGGAAGAGGCGGCGGGCTCCAAATTTGAACTCCAGCCACCCTTGCTTGACTCGGAAGGTTCAAGACAGAGGCATTCATTCTCTCGAACTGCACCATGGCTGAAGTCAGAGACCCCTGGGAACTCAAGAGATGCCTCCCTTTTGTTTTACCGTTTCGTGCGCCATTCGCCAATGGTAAACTATTTCCGTTGTTCATGGACACTTGGTGCCAGCAGCAAATGTGAAAATCGTGGATATGGCCAATGGCCTGCTTCGAAGGATTTCTTCCCTCCTTCCCCCCAACAACTCTTCTCATTTCTCGCATCTCTCTCTTCATCCCTCCCTGTCACTCTCACACCAACATGTAGACGCACATCCTCTCCCTCTCCCTCTTTCTCTGTCCCTGTCAGACATCCTTCTCTGTCTCTCTGTGTCTCTCTCTCCAACTCTCCATCTCTGGGTCATCAAAATCCTGGCTGGGATAGTGCCGGGCCAGTTGCTCTATGGGACATCATGAAATCGTGACGTAAAAAGGCGCATTCGGTGGGGAATCGGATATTGGAGACTCTGGGAAAGCTGTTGGGTGCTTGGGCGACCGTCGTCCTCGTCACGGGGAGGGTGGTTTCTTTTCTATTCGTGAAAACAATAAATAATTGATAAGGGCTGAGAAGAAAATCGGAAAAGGCGGGCCTTTCTTTTCTTTTCTTTTTTTTGTCGTTTAGAGAACCACACATTTGCTCCTCTTGGACTTTTCGCCGTCCCCGCGTCGATACCGCGACACTCTGCCCTTCTCGTCATCGTATCCTAGACGGTCGCCATTGGCGGGTCGTGTGCCCGTGCGTCCGCTTTGATGCGGGCGCGATGCTGCTTGCCGTTGCCGCCGAAGAATTCGGACGACGTCGTAAAAGGCCTTCTCGACGTTGATGCAGTTCTTGGCCGATGCCTCGACGAATTCGCAGCCCAATTCGCGGGCCAGTGCATGGCCTTCTTGGGTGGACACTTCGCGCTCGGTGACTCGGTCGCTCTTGTTGCCGACGAGCATGATGGGTACGGGCGCTTGGGGGTGGGCCGCAGCGATGGGGGACCCGGGGTATGAAGGCGACGACGCGACGGATTCTTTAACCCGCTGGATCTGGTGGTGGAAGCGCTTGATGCGGGTAAATGACGACCGCGAAGAGATGCTGTATACGAGCACGAAGCCCTCGCCGTCCCGGATCCATTGGTCTCTCAACGCAGTGTATTCCTCCTGGCCTGCGGTGTCGAGGACCTCTAGCATGCATGCCTGCCCGTCGATGACGACCTGTTTTCGGTACGAATCCTCGATGGTGGGATCGTACTACGCAACAAGCAGATCAAAGGTCAGAAAGCAAACCCCACGTCAAAGTAACATGTTATTTTACTAAAAGTGGCAGAGAAAAGAAGAAGAAAAAGGAAAGGCAGGGCAGGGCAGGACAGGACAGGGCAGGTGGGGGAGGGAAAAGCGGACGAATTGAGCAGGTCGACTTACAGTCTCGACAAAGTGTTGCAGACATAATTGTATGGTCAAGGCCGTCTTTCCCACGCCACCGTCACCTAGCACCACCAACTTGTAGAGCACCATTTTCCCCGCCATGACGGGCAGCGTAGACGCAGAAACCTGTTAGAAACAAGGTGGTCCCGATTGTTATGGAGAGCTGCCGAGTGGTTTCAAAGAGCTTATGCGGATAGAGAAGGAGCGGAAAGTGAGAGGAGAAGGGCTGGATTGGCGGGAGGATAGGATGGCGAGCCGAGAGAGACAGAGACAGGGAGAGAGAGACAGAGAGAGTGTGTGTGAGATAGTGAGAGAGTCGGACAGGCGGACGACAATGATGAGAATGCGTTTCGTCGAGGGTGAGAAGCTGTCCAGACCGAGCGGGGTGGTTGCGAAAAGAGAATGGACACAGCAGATCGATGGGGCGATGGGGAGAACGCCCGAGTCTGGAAGAATGGGTTGTGAGGAGGAGCGACAGTGGATGGACGAGGGGTGGAGAATTTGGGGCTGGGCGAGTTTAGAAGGGGATAGGAGGGGAGAGGAAGAGGGAGAATCCGAAGTTAAGGAGAGGGCCTAAGATTCTGGGATCTGTATTCGTAGGATGGGGGTGGGTGGGGGAGGAACAATAAGAGTACTAGGTAAGGTAGGTAAGGTAGGTACTTCGTACTAAGGACACCACCGACCGCTCTGTGTTGTGCTGGACATACCTAAGTGTCCGACCAAGAAGGCCCGCTGGGGAGAAGAGGCGGGCCTTGGCCTTGTGCGTCGAATGAGGAAGAGCCTTCTCAGTGTAAATCCTGGCCTCTTGAGCTTGCTCTAACAGTTCAGCGCTGCCAAGCATTTACTACTTACTAAGTACTGGTACCAAGAAGCGTCTAAGCCCGTACCTTGCAAGGCCCTCGAGAAAGCTTCCATGACTTGAACCGTGCAAGACGACATGAGTGGTCCGGCATCAGGACAGAGGTACTCCGTACCTCTCTAAGGTAGCCACGTTGTACGTACGTTGTACATACAAACCTTGCTCTACCTTAATTACCTTACCCTAAAAGACTCGCAAGATAAAAATGCAGCCACTCAGTAATAGAGCGGGATACAAGACATCTAGAAGTGAGGCTGCATAGCCGTCTACACACACCTGGTTCAGGATGCGACGAATTATGAAGCCAATGCCAATGCCCTCTTAAAAAGATAATGAGTGATGAGAAGGATAAGAAGGACATGTGGAGTACCACAAAGTAATGGATATGTATTTCTACATGCCTGCATGAAGAAGCGGAGAAACTTACTCGGGAACCGGTCAGCTAAAAGGAGCAAAGCAAGCTAAGAGGCTGGCTACCACAACCCTTCATCCGGGACCCACGAGGAAAGCCCGACCGATGAGGACCACCTGTGCCCTGTGCTCTTCCCTACCTCGTACTCCCGTGCTTGTTGCGGAGTCGTGCGGAGACAGGTGCTCGCTTCGTGCCGGGATTGCTGGCCAAAGACATGCGTGGAGCTGGGTTCGTACCCCCCTCCCCTGAGGGACCAATACCTCGAACTGACGGGAGCAGAGAGAAAACCAGTGCGACATGGTGAGTGTGAAAGATGGAGCCTCAGACGGCGCGGTTCGGGCCTCGGTTCTGTCCCCCACACGTGGTGAGGTGCTGGAGCTGCTGCTGTCCATGCTTGCAGCGTGCTCCTCGTGGTACCGCTTGGTTGTATGTAGGTATTTACTCCATATGTACGATGGACATGTCGTTATACGGAAAAACGGAAAGGGAAATCGGGGTAATTAGGTAGCGCCAACATCAAACCAGATCGCCAGCTAAACTGCAGGTACTCCGTAATTCTTCGGTCGGGAAGATTGGCTGTACACTGTACATGTACGAAGTATGGAGTACGGCATAATATGTGCGTTGTAGGTCCCTCTAATAGGTGCTATTCGTACAATGTCTGTGCGACTGAAAAGCACATCATTTTCATCCGCCAAAGCAAAACCGACCATACCCTCGGAAAGGCAGAGTAACGGTCGAAGTGGCTCCTCCCTCCCATTTCGGTTTCTTGAGTCTCTTTGGTCTGTCTGATCTGTCTGTGCGATGCAGCCGGGGAATGGCCCGGTCTAGGATTGTGGAAAATTGAGCGGGGAGACTGGGCCGCGAAGGGCTACAGGGAAGGAACTGGTGACAAGCTCTAGCGTGGGCGGATTCAAATGCTTAGACCGCTTGGCTTATCAAAATTCGACGGCTGGATGGCTTCGGGGATCAGGTAATTAAGACCTATCGATCAACACTGCATCCGCCATTTTGAACCTGTTGAACCCGTCAACGCCGTTGACCGTAGGAAGGCTGCCACCTAGTATTGGAATACCTACTCCGTATATACACGAGGAGCTTCTTTTTTTTCTTCTTCTTTTATTCCCGGCTTTATATATAAGTACGCAAGTAAGTACGTGTCAAAGGAGAGGCCCGGCCTAATGTCAGGTAGTGGCCCTTACTTGCAGAGTACAGAGTATAGTGTACCGATACTTGAGGTTACCTTACCTTAGTACGGATACAGGGGTCACGGATATTAGAAGTGACAAACGACGGAAGTACGGATACGGAGGACCTTCCTCGATACTGTCGCGTTTATTTGTATACTCCGTGCTCCGTATTCGTACTTTGCAATTACATCGTAAGGTACATAATTGATCACCCCGATAACCAATATACCTTAATTGCATGTCCTCTTTGGTCCTGGAATGCAGTTAGGTAAGGTAGCTGGCAGGTTGGCGTATTATGTACTAAGGTACCTTATCATAGGTACACGAGCTATTGTACCATCGCAAACACGTCAAATATCTACTTTCTCAGACCGACCACCTCGTCTAATGGTGGCATAAACGTCCCTCAGAGACAACACCACCATGACCTTCCCCGTCCCAATATTCCAGCCTTACCTCTCTGTTGGAGCTTGGCTGTAATTAGGTTATTGCAACGGAGTAGACGCGAGGTATACTGGGTGAGTAGGGTCTTCACGGCGGGCGTTCTCCAGTCATTTACCCAACCACATCGATCAATTTCCACGGGCCTAACTCCGCGGCTTCCGGATTCCGTTCCCAACCAAGCAAGGCAGGCTCCGAACCCCAGCCTTCACAATTTATACGAAGTACGTTGTCGTTTGTCCCACGCGTTTCCGCCCTGACGGGTTACGTACGTACACCAGCTTTGTTGCCTCAGCTCACAGTCCTGGATCAACAAAGTCGTCGCCACTGGTCTACTGCGCTCCGTACTACGTAGTCGCTCGCGTAGACCTCCGCCACTTCTTCTTCCGAGCTGCCCAGTGCCATGATAACCCCCTAATCGATAGCCTACCTGACTATGTACGAAATAGGCCTCGACGGGAACGCTCCCCGGTCACCCTAACGAACACGGACGGATGGTATGGCGTCCTTTTGCAGCGAACGATTGACGGATGATTGATTGATTTCATCTAGGCATTTCCGTCGCTTCGCCTTCCTTATTCTATACTTGGCATTTAAATGAACCTGTCAGATCTCCGATCTCCATCCTGGAATCTATGTTTCAGCCACGACATATATGCATGGTTGTGGTCACGCTCAAGATCCGCGTGACGTCTTCTTCAAGTATGGTACTTGCTGCGCACATTCAGTGCTGTGCCGAATCTCAACTTGCGCAAGACGAATTGGACCGGTTGAGACACGGCCAAAATCGACTTCTCAGGTGAGGTGGACAATCTTCGTTGTCTTAATTCTCAACTCTCTTGAGGACGCTGCCTTCGCTGTTTCGGACGAATAATCGCTTCGAAGACTCGCCACCTTTGGCCACGACGTCGGTGAATAACCCATGACTCTGGGACAGCGGTGCCTCCCCACGATCCACCAAACTGAGACAAACATGTTTTCTTATCGTACTTCGCATAATTACGGTGTATCCGTAAGGCATTATATGTCATGTTCCCCAAACTGAGGTTTCTCGCACTACCTGAGTCAGCAGACAGCTTACACGTCCTCGGCACCTCGCATCTCCTCTATAACATAATCCCCGCGTGGGAAAGACGAGACACACAAAAAGAACCAGAGTCCTCTCGTTCGCGTCGGCGATGCGGGGTGCATAGTTCTACAACGTCTTTTGACTGACCTCTCATGGCAGACTGTCTTCTCACGAACTTGGTTTGTTTGCGTCCAAGGGTTCACCTTCTCTCTCGCTCGGATCTGCCCTTTTCGGAACCCCAGTGTCCTCGAGCCAAAGTGCTCACCAGGCTCGTTGATCCCTAGGTTGATTTTTCCTGCTCTGGTGGGTTCGTGTTTTGTGTTGATTGTTCCGAGTGTGTGGTTGCGATGTTGGGCCTATCTCCTGTTCCACCACCGGAACCTCAACCAGCACCGTGCCGCCTAGCCGGAGTCTGCTCCTCTGTCCGTCCAACTACCGGATGTTGGGCAACTAAGGGCGCTCCTTAAATGTCTTTAAGGTTGGTCTAGCAATTCTATGTTTGACAATACCCTTGCGGCGGCGAGGCCTCCCATTTGTTCTCCATCGCCATCACATCGGTATCGGTATGCAAATCCCTGGTATCACCACAACTCGGCCGCCTTTAAGAAGACCTCTTCTATTAGAATGTGCCTGTTCCCGAGATCGACAATTGCACGAAACTTCCGTGAAACAAAATATCAACATGTGATAGAACCCTGGGGTGTGACTTGTCGTCGCCCATACCCAATCTGCCACAGGCGTCATCTCACAGGGACCGTCCCCGTTTCGGGGAGGACAAGAATCAAAGTTCGTCTCAGAATCATTTGCTGGGCATACTCCGTACTAAGTAACTTCCTTTCGTCTGGCGCACGATTTCCGATCCCGACCACGAGGATTCAAGTGAGTCCAAGTCTGCTAGCCAACTCAACAAACCCATCCTCGCCCTCGGGGATCCAGATATCAACCCATTCCTTCGCCTGCTGGTACCGTTCCTCATCTTTTCGCCAATCCTCCTCCTGCGGCCGCTCGACATAGACCGTCCTCAGTCCCGCCCTCCTCGCCCCCGCCAAGTCCCCCAAGTGCGCTGCCACCATGGCCACATCTCTCGGATTTTCGAGCCCGAGCTCCCGCACCGCGCCGTCATAGACCTCGCGGCTGGGTTTATACGCCCTAAAGTCCTCCGCCGATAAGATGGCACCAAACCCCAGCCCGCCGAACTCGTTGAGGTCCTCGAGCAGAGACGTATTCCCGTTGGATAGAGTCGCGGTGATGAACCGCCGCCCCAGTAGGCGTAAGCCGGCCGAACTATCCGGCCACGGTCGTAGCCGATGCCACGCGCGGCTGAGGCGTTGGACCTCTTCCGGATCCGGGAACGCGGCGGCGAGGCCCCATTCTCTCAGTAAGACGGTCAGGCTGTCGAGGTGATGGGCGTCGACGTCCTTCCACGGGGTCGTGCCGGGGATGAATCCTGCTGTGAAACGCTTGTAGCTGTCGCGCCACTGTTGGGCGAACCGGGCCCAGTCTTCGCGGGTAAGGCGGCCCAGAACCTCACGGGCTTGGGCTGTCTCCGGCGTTGTGTCATCTCCCGTGGACGCTCTCAGTTTCGATTCGGCGAGGGTGTTGAGCTCGTCGATGACGGAGGAGCGCCAGTCGACGACGGTGCCGAAGATGTCGAAGGTAAGAGCTTTGACCTGCGTCGGGAGTACGTTGGACGGCGATGACGACATGGCGTAGGATCAACCAGATGGCAACGAGAACCGCATTTGCCCTTGGTATTCAAAAGCTTCTCTTATCTTGATGCTGGTCAGCCACTCTCTGATAAAATCAGTTTGGAAGAGTCCCGTGTCTGGTCCCTGGTGCCGGTGCTTTGTGGATAGGCCGGTGAGGTCCGAGTTTCGGTATGTTGCGTCAAATCGGCGTTTCTCAGAAGAATTCCGGACGCCGCGATTTTCCGATGACTCATCAGAGCCAGGGCAGCTCTATGATCGCGATGGCGTGACGCTACGGAGAGTGTTCGACTTGCATATGTCATAGCCGAAATTCACATGCGACATTGGCTTGGAGGGCTTGAAGGGCTTGGACCGTGGAGGCAAAGGCATCTAAGCGTGGATGGCTTGAGTATGACTTGACTTGGCTTCGAGTACAATCGAGGAGTCGCCGAGCGGCATGTAATACTTTCGTACTTTTGCCTGACAAGCGGGATTCCTCTCATCCATCGTGTACGACAACGGTTGTAACCGGCCATTTCGGCACGACAAGCTACCTACCGTATGTCACTGGGTACCTTAGGTATTCAGGTATTCTCAGCCATCTCATACTTTCATCTTTGGGATATGGTTGCGTCGAATCCAACCAGCCTTGAATTCGGACAATGGCGTAGATGTCAAGGCAGACTGGGGTCCGAGGAGTGACAGACTGTCAGACACTGATCCCGAGACGGACGTAACAGTTCTCAGTGGCCGTCTTGCGCTCAATTCTTCCGGCGGCGGGGTACGGGATCCCTTAGACCATAGATGTCATGCCAGCGGCCGCCCGTAGCAAACAGCCTGACTTGTTTGCGACAGGTTGTTTCCGAGGGTGCTCATATAACATCCGACGACTGTCCCTGGAGTGCGCAAGTCAGGAAAGGCGCGGTTTCCCTTCTCCGTCCTCCGCGCTTCGGGCCGGGTTCGGGATTCCCATGGTTGCTGAGATGATCGCAGGTGGCTGTCCCGATCACCAGGCCAAAGTTCATGTACTGACGAGGTGTTTTCCATCGCGGGATCGTGTCAGAAAACCCTGTCGAGTGTAAACAAGAACGAACCGACAGGTCCACCCACGGGATAGAGGGCCGAGAAGGACACTCAGCATAGTGCCTCGATATTGACGACCAAATATGCCCGAAGTCCGTCATTTGCTAGACGAGAACTTGGCTCTATGTCCCCAGGAAGAGCAAACCCCGCGATCGTGGTACCCGGAGGATTTAATATGCGGACTCGGAGGATTTCCCGAACTTTCGCACCGGCGGGAAGCACGACTTCATCATCAATCGTTCCTTTCCCCCCCTTTTCCCCCACGAAAGATTGTTAGGCGGTCTTTCCTTTGTGTAAAAGTTCGTCAGCAAATACAATGTTTGATAAAGGGGATCCTAAACTTGTTGGGCTTTCGTTGTGGTCGAGGCCGAAGAAGAATTCAGAACTCGGTTCTGAATTGTCTGTACCGACCACTTGGGCTTTGGTTTGAGGTCTAATTTAACTCGCGGCGGCGGAAACGCGACATTGGTGATTCACAAAAGGACCCCAGATAGACAGTTCATGATGATGTTCTCCAAGGCGAGGCCGGACCTCCCTACCACTTAATGGCAAAATTCCCCGTGGTCTATTCCGTCGACTGTTTCCGAGTCATCCGGAGGAAAGGGTGCGGGAGGGGGGTTGGGTTCATGAACTGACATGACAGCACGAAGAATTGAACCCACCAATGTCGACATTCAGAAACCATTCAAGACCACACAAATGCCGACACACCCTGCAGTTTTCCCGAGCCCGGTATGCTCACTGAGAGGTGACGATTGTGGTGATGAAAACGGTAGAACAATACCAACCAGTGGGTGTTCCTGCGAGGCGAAAGTTTAGCATGAACCTGATTCGTCTTTGATCAAGTCGATCTGCGTTCAGGATAGGTAGCTGGCATTGCACATTACACCCTCAACCGGGAGCCGCGGAATCAAAGCCCAATACTTTTCGTACTCCGTACTCGGCAAGTGTCCCTGTATAGCCGTCTAGGCTAGTTCTGCAGGAGCCAGACCGGTTCTGCCACAATGCAACCCCAGCGTCACCACAGCCGGTTTCTTCCTGCATTTGGTTTCCCCCAACTGTTGCGACCGAGCAGGCGAAAAGTGCGTATCCACGGCAATACTTAGTCTTCCGGGATGAAGATAGCAGCGAGTGTCGACGCCAGTACAGAGGATCGAACCTGATGGTAATGGGGGAAGACTGTCCCGTCTGCCACAATACGGCAAGAAGTACGACGACGACACAAGCATCGAACAAGCCCCTACGGATACAGGCCGGGGCTTTTCGCCTCAAGTCGGGAAGCGCGGTTTCCACATGCTGCGTCTAAAGGGGCAAGACGATATAGGTACTCCGTAATTATGAGACGATTCGCCATTGTCTTGAACGGCTTCGAGGAAAGTGCGATGCGCCCTTTGAACGCGGCCCGTGGAGTGATGTCCGGAGTCCGGAGTCCGGAGAAGGCTACGTAACTATCCGTAATACTTCGTAGTGAAGAGCGGAAAAGGTGAGGTGCCCATTGCATCCTTTGTACGGATAAATCGAGGGTCGATCACTCATCAACGGCGGAGCATATGGTGTTCACCCGGGGCTGTTGATAGGCTGGGACCGGATGGCGACGTGATTCGTGGCGCAGGCGCTTGCGGTATAATAAGTGCGTGCTGAGCATAAAAGGTCAATGAGTCCAAAAAGATGCCATGCGAGGAACCCGGACCCTGCAGAAAGTGGAGGTCTACTTCTGAGTTTGCTTTTAGCTTGGTTTCTTGAGTGGTATTCGGGTATTCGCCGCGGCCCCTTGAGCTGGTACCCGTCTAGCTTTGGTCATTGAGAGAGAGAGGGGCCGAGAGCGAAGAACACGGCGATATGTTGTGCGAAAAATGCATGCGAGTAATCAGATGTCTCGGTTATTTTGGCCCTGGGTCAAACAATCGGGGCGCTGTAAATATGTACCAGCTTGGAATGAACACCAAGCTGTTGGCTGTGGTTGAAGGAGGAGGTAGAGTACATACACCGTACCTTACGTCCAAGCACTCATATCTTCGTCTTCGTCGTTTTGAAGTACGAAGAAGGTACTAGACGGGCAATTCCATGCCTCTCAACTGTGCAAATTTCTCCACTCGCCGAGAAGAGACAGTTCGATCCTTCCCCTCCAGTTCCGTTGTGCCCAAAGCCAGGTTTATGTGGATCCTGAAGTCGGAAAAGAGTTCGCAGTCAAAAGGTTCGATCGAGTGGGCACGATCCAGCCAGACGGTACGGTCGTGTTTCATCAAGAATTAACTTCGTAGGGATTTCTGTTCTTACGGAGTTTGTCCGAATACCTTACATACAACCTACCTCTACGGATATGGCCCCTGTGGCATTGCCTCTCAAGTGGGGGAGAAGGGGGGAAGATAAAGGATTGGACTGGGGGGGCATCGGAAATGGACCACCCAACTGACCTGCCCATCCAGAGGCGCGAACCGTGCGATATTGGGAACTACCTAGTTGCCTGCCTTCCAGGAGATGTACGAATAGAAATGATTGCATCCATACAACGCTTTATGAGAGTTTACTTCGTGAAAAGAGAACACGGATAGAATCTGTGAGGTTACAGAAGCTTGCGCGTGTCTTGGGAATCATATCCGTACCTACCTAGGTACGTAGGTAAGGTAGGTAAGGTAGTACGTTGTACTGGCGTATGTACTCTGGCGTTCCTTCTGGCATTGTGAATTGCTACTGTGATAGCGACGAGTGACGATGACCAACAGGAAGGGAAGCCGGGCCCTGTTCGTTCCAGCCGCCTGTTGAACCCGGGGTAGTTTACGTTGCAATTATAAGGTACCTTAGCCTGTGGACGGAGTAACCTCGTATGTACGTACCTACGCCGTTGCACCGGGTCTGGAGAGGTGGGGTTGAGCAGTCCCGGCGCAACATTTGCGGTGTGTGTTTTCTGACTCTCAATATCATATCATCTCTCGAGTCGTCTCCATGAGCACGGAGTACGGAGGCGACGTTGATAGCCGGGAAACACCGCGTCGAGCCTGTGCACAGTTTGTTATGAAAGCGCATTAGGCGAAAACCGACGTATCCAAAAATTCATGGACACTTGTCCTTTTGTCAAGTGGAACATTCAGAAGATGTTCGAACGATCCGTGTCAAGACCAGCCCGAGATCTCTGACCTGGTCAGCTGAAGGCCCTTGCTCTCTGTGCAGGTGGAGGCATAAATGTATGGAGACGATGCACGATGGATGTACGAAGTACGATTATCGAACAGGATATAACCCTTCCACGCATAATATACGAAGTACATATCCGTACTTAATGTGGATTGACAGATGTGTTGGTTCGTGCACCTTGGTCCGTGGGGACCGAGAAGAGTCAAAGTGGATGCATGGGTGAATAGGTTGTTGAAGCGGGATAAATTATTATACGAGAATTAGCTTGCGATATTCACAAACTGTCCTTCGTACTTCTTTCGTACCTCAAGAAGCGCCATTTACTTCGACTCTATAATTTACTCGGAGGAGCACAGTGTTGTCGAAAGGAAAAGCATTGTGGAAGTACAGCGTATGGAGTATCGTATCACCGGACGGAGTTACTTCGTACGTACCCATCCGTCGTAGCAGCCAACGCCCGTCCAGCTTTCAATCCTTGGTGACCAATTCACTTCATTACCGACGTCAAGCCTTGTCCTCTCGTGATTCATTCATCCCAACCAAATGCAACCAAACCAAACTAAATCGCGGGAGGTCCGGCTTTTAGGGGAAGGCAAAAGCCGCCCTCCCGTTCGACGGCGTGCCGGGAAAAATGAGCGTGAAGCCATCTCGGCGAGGCTGCCGACCATTGTCCTTTTCGTCAGTTTCCTTCCTTACGAAGTCCTTTCATACCGAAGGTATCGTTTCTTTCCTTGTTCCGGGCTGCAGGGAGTAAGCACTCCCTTCTCCAGTGATCTACATGACAACTCCAGGACAAAAGTGCAGGCGCTGTTTCGTTCTGACGGAAGTGGTAGAGTAAGGTATTATCTTATATACTGATACTCCCGCACTCCGTACAGATATGGGTAGCTTATCTTGGAAGAATAGGTAAGGTAAGGCACCCGAAACGGGGACTACCCCATCGTGGTACTGTATTTCTACTTACACTTCGCCACGAGAAAGGCGGATCACACCGTAGCATTAGAAGTACCATAGACAGTAGCTACTGTTAGTCGTACTGTAAGATAAGGTAGGTACATAGGTACCGGCACTGTATTACGAATTGGTATCTGTATCATGGTTGTATTCGTCGAAGTAATCTCCTTTCCCCTCTCCTCTTCTCATTTCGACAACACACCTGGGGGAGTCCCCTGTCGGCCCCTGTCCACCGAGCTACGCCCAAACTTGAATCAAATCAAATCAAACTCGTTCCTGCGAACGAAGCATCCGAGCTTTTGTCGCCCTATGCGGAGTACATATCATTTGTGCAAGTCTTTCATATGCATGCCCCAATGAGCTCGCCAATGGGCACAAGTACGCGAATATGGATGGATGGGGTGGGTGGACGAGCACATCTCCCAGGCTCGCATGTTGCGTGGCATCATTTCCGCCATCCCGTGTCGTGTCACGAACATCGACGACGTCTGTCCTGCTTCACGCAGATTGAATTTGATTCTATCAGAGATAGATGACCGTCAATTGACGAAACATCACTACAACGTACATACGCCTAGGTCTGCTCTCTTCTGGGCGAGAGCCCTTGACGACGACACAGATGTTCGGATACCCAACCCTTGCTCCCCTCGAATCTCACCCGAGTCCATCCCCAACCCCTACCTTGCGGACTTTTTCAATTATTTTTATGAAGCTTAGCTACAGGGGTTCCTCGGTCTTGACCCAACCCTGCAGAGTCCAGAAAAGGTTGCCGAGCCGCTCGTCACTGTCACTGTGGAGCCATTGTGCATTAACTGGTCCGGGCACTCTCCCCTGCTTCTTCTCTGTTTCTCTTCATTGCCCTCTGAGCTTCGACACGCGCATAATGCTGGAGGACTGGACTGGGGAAGACTGAACACCTTTGCTACGGATATTCGTTTCTTTTCCTCTTGCATCTTGCACTCTTCATACTCGTTCTTTCGTGGGCGCCATTGGTTTTACGTGAGGGTGCTCTCGCCAGCTCGACCCTTTCCCCCCTCAACATCAGGTTTACCCGTGTCGCTCTTTTTTCTTCGGTTCGATCCTATTGTGTTGGCATCGCGAGCCGAAGCTCTTCAACCCCTTTTTGCAAAGACTTTTTACGAAAAACGCCAGCAAGAGCCCCTGTTTTGTTTTCTCTCTTTATTATACATTGCCTCTGAGACGCATGTGAGTGAGCTTTGCTTCTTTCGAGTCGACCTACATCCTGCGCCTTCGAGCATTCTTCTCTCTTATAAACTGCGCCAATCGGTGAGTTTCGACGGTCATGTCTTGTATCATGACGGTGATTCGTCTTGTACTGAACACAGCTGACCCTGATTGCACCGACAACAGCCGATTTAGCGTCTTCGCCCGTCCGCTTGTGCGATCGTTCTACGCGTTCCCTATATATATTTCAACAGGTCTTCTCTCGACGCGACATATCTCCTTTGTCTCGCCTTTGTGCACCCGACTGCCCGTTGCCGGCGTTTTCGCTTGGAATACTCCCCGGACGCCTTGGATACCCGAATTACTCGAATTCAAAAGCCAACGTTGTTGAATGAAAGCATCGAATATTTGCATACGGCTGGAAAAGAACGGCGATACCTGAGATTATTGTTTTGCCTAAGCGTGGGCAACAGCAGCTGGGTCGCCGCCGAGCGTGCCTCATACCTAGCTTATTTCTTTGTTTGTCCTTCTCTAAAAGGTAGGCAGTAATCAGTGACCATTGTTCGACCCATTGCGTGGCAGCACCCGTTCAGTATGAAGACCCGGTGATGAGTTGCTGACCCCTCCTCACCAGAAAGAACTCTGGTTTCATTTCTAGCCGACGGTTGGTGATCATACTGGAAGGTAGAAGCGCACACTTCCCCGCCTTATCTGGTGAGTAAACTGGATACCTGGGCCATCGGCCATTTGAGACAGTGTTTCTCGAGCCAGGCAGCCCTGGCTATACTGGAAGTGTTAATGTTAACGTGCTGGAACAGCATCAATGCATCCATGATTCTGCAGTTGAACCTTGCTGCATCCTTTCCTAATCCGACCGATGCAGGGATCACGGATATAGTGTCGTGCTTTGACCTCTTCAAATCGAACCCCTTCCGCGGACCTCAGTCAATCTTCAGGAGATCCCTCTCCTTCACATCGAACCGGATGTTCGCAACAGAGCCCATCATTTGGACTTGATTCATGCTTGTAGCGTCACCTACTACCCCGAAATATTCGTTTCGTCAGCATCTGAAAAGATGAATGCCTGGGAGACAGAGGATGAGGCTGGCGGCCCTGCTGCGACCTCACTCCCGACCCCACGAGATACACCCTACAGGACACCTTCTGGGGGCTCGAGGAGATCACGCCGCTCTGTCACGCCACCCGGTACGAAAAGCTACTCCCCTTCTTTTGCGGCCGGGGAAAGAAATGGGAAAGTCACGAAAAGGTCGTCGAAAGACGTCTCCAACGACGAAAACATCAGTGTTCTGGATCCTCGACGATTTACGCCCACCTTGCATGCGAATCTGGTGGCTGAGATCCTGAACCTCAGGCGGGATCAGGAAGAGAAGATCAAACTTATCGAAAGCCTGGAGGCCACCCTGCACTCCACTCGAGGAGAACAGGAGTCCCTGCAGGAAACGCTGGCTCAGACGACCAAGGAGAGCCGGTCCTTGAAGAGACACCTAGCTCTTCTTGAAGGAGGCACGACTTCAGCCCTGGGAGAGCTGACACGAGAACGCGATGAGGCGGTTGAAAGCAATATCGAGACGAAAGTGCGGCTTGAAGCTGCACAGCGGAAAATTCGGCTCCAAGAAGAGGATTCTCGGAGGGTGCATGACCTTTGGATTCAGGAGAAGGATGCCTGGGAGGAGGAGAAACGGAAGTATGAGCGCAGGATCCACGTGGTCGAAAGCCGGCTGAAGTCGGTGCTTGATGAGGTCGCCGCTTACCAGAATGCTCTCCACTTGAACGGGCACGGGCACGGTGCCCACAACGCCGAGAGCGAAACGGAGGAGACGGGACGGGAGAACGACGCTGCGAGCGTCCGAACGATGAGCATGACAAACAGTATTCGGTTCTCAGGGATGCCCAGTCCTGGAAAAGGAAACGGCAATTCGTTGGCGGATGAACTCAACCTGGACGGAGACGATGACTGGCATACAGATGACGGTGGCCGAGAAAGCGTGCTCTCTCATCATCGACACCACGCACGCAACATGAGCCGCGACAGTGTCATGTCCAGGCTCCACCGCCGAAACCAAAGCATTGAGAGCCTCAAGCGACCGGGAAGTGTTGCGCGTGGCAAGCTCTGGGTGAACCAACCCGTGCTGGAGGCCCTGGAAGATGGGATCCCTGAAGACGTGGTGAATCCGCCTGCTCCTAAAGTCGTCTACACCGACACCGGAACCCAGTTCTCCCCGCCGCCATCGCCCATGTTACAGCCGTCGTCGGAGCCTGCCGAGCGCATTGAAAGGGCTCCCGAATTGGAGACCCTTCCACCAGCCGAGCTCGAAATCGAGGCCAACCAGCGACGGAAGCGCGTGCAACTCAACAGGCCCTCGACAATTGACACTTCAGCTCGTCCCCAACACCATATGGTCTCGACCAGCTCTCAGACGGTGGAAGAGCCGCTCAGTCCGCCCAAGACACCCAAGTCTCCATTGCGGGCGTTGACACCACCACCTCCGGAGACTAAACCCACTCCCACGGTCTCTGTTTCTACTCAGACGGAAGACCATGAGAAGGAAAAGGCAACAGAGGAGGAGAAGGAAGAGGAAGCTAAGCCGTTGCGCCAGTTTTCCCCGATGCCCGAGCTCCCAATCCCCAGCATCAGCGTCATTCCTCCGACTAGCCGACCAACAACGCCCCGTGAGCCACGCCTTCCGCAATACAATAAAGACGCTGGCTGTCAGGTCTCGCTCCTCGTATCGGCAGCTCCGGTGCAATCCACTGGTGTTCAGACGGACGAGATCCGCGTGGATCGGCGCCTCGCTCAACTCCCCATGCACTTGCGACCGGAAGCCATCTCATCACGACCCACGTCCCCTAATCCTACCACGTCATCTGCTGGTGTCGCTGATGTCGATGCCCCCGAGCAATTTACGCCTGGCCCTGCCGATTTGCCACCTCGCAATCCGAGAAGGCTGGCGATTAAGCGCAGCTTCACTGACATGCCTACATCCCCTCGCGGTCCTATCCCTCCTGTGTCTCCTACTTTCTCTGGCACGCCTTGCAGCCCTGTCGAAAGCCCTCCTCGCGATGCCTACCCCGGCAACAATGATGACGGGCCCCTGTCAAGCCAGAAGGCGCCAATGCGTCGCCCACACCGCGTCAGCAGCTTGTTTGCCGGATTCGATGCGAACAGCTCGGACGAGGGTGAAGACTACGGCGATGCCGATCCGGATCTGAGTGATGCCGAGTTTAGGACGGCTCTCTCCGCACCTGGGCAGAGGCCAAAGTCGGGTGTTGTTGCGCCGGCCAAGAGAGGCTCCTATGGCAACATGGCCTCCCCAGAGCAGCCTACGTTGAGGACCTCGGCCATGTCTCGGAGTTCAGTGCGGTCCCTTGGCACTGAAAGCTACAGCTATAACTTGGAGAATAAAGAGAACAATGTGCAGAAGGACAAGGACTCCGCTGCGGGCTCGGGAGCGCAACACACCAAGTTCGCGCAGCGAAGCTACGAGAAGTCAACGGGAGCTGGCGCGAACAAGGCCAACGGTATGCGAAGGGCCGCCATGATACAAAGCGGCATTGCGACCCACCAGGGACGGGCCAGAAGCCCGAGCCTCACCGACTCCCGCGATCCTCCTTTCCCCATCCCTACTAGAGCAAGCTCCCGGCGGCCCCCGATTAGCGCCAGCGCGCCGAGCGACGGGCAGCGGAGTCCGACAAGGGTCGACGGTTCGTGGCGGAGACGAGGCAGCGGGCGCAGCCATTACCGGGCCAATAGCATCCGCAAAGTGCGGTCGGCAGCTGCTTTGCCGCGGAATCACAAGTACCGGCGACACGGCAGCCGGTCCCCTCCGCCGTTCTCCGAGACTACCGAGGGGCCGGAAAGTCCGGGACTCCCGCCGTTGCCGCACAACGACATTACTAGTCCGCATGCACGAGAGAACGGCAGGTCCCGGTTCAAATCGTCGCACAGGTCGCAGCCATCGACGACGACAGCCCAGACGGCTCAGACATACCAGACCAGCGGGACCAACGGGACCCACGGGACGGATCTCAACTCCCAGGGAAGTGTTTCCGGTACTACTGGGGTGGTGGATGCCATCGCGCAAACGATGGTCGGTGAATGGATGTTCAAGTATGTTCGGAGGCGCAAGTCGTTTGGTGTTCCCGAGCCCAGCGGCCGAGAGGAGACGAGCAACGACCGGCACAAGAGATGGGTCTGGCTGGCGCCTTATGAGCGGGCCATCCTGTGGAGCAGCAAGCAACCTTCTTCGGGCAGCGCCCTGATGGGCAAAGCCGGCCGAAAACGTAAGCCCCGTCCCCCGACGCCAAATCACAAATGGTGGAGCGCAGAGAGACTGATGATGGCCTTCCTCCCTAATTCTGCAGTGACGATCCAATCGGTTCTCGACGTCAAGGACGACAACCCGGCGCCCAAGGGCATGCCGACAATCTTCAACCGGTCGATCTTGATTCTCACACCGCAAAGGGCGCTCAAGTTCACGGCCGTCTCGGCAGAGCGACACTACTTGTGGCTGACGGCGCTGTCCTTCCTGGCTCACTCGCAGCAAGCGGTGCCGGAGATCATCACGGCCCCCCCGCCACCGAAGACGATGGTTCCCGACTTCGAAATGGCGCAGCCGAAAAGGCGGCCGGGCATACGCGACTCGATTCGTCTGACGAAGAGCAAGACGTCGGCCCTGAGGACGGCTACACCGAGCATGCCCAGCGTGCCGAGCGTGCCGAGCGTACGGAGCAATCCCAGTGCGCCCCCGTCTCAGATGGACGACGTTGGTGGTTTCAATTTCAAGCACGAGGCGTTCCCGCCGTTGCCCGAGATACACCACATGCACCATTCTCGGGAACGATCCGGGGAGGCGGCCGAGGCGCCCGTCATTCCGCGGTTCCACGAGCGGTCGGCGGCCATGGTGCACGGGCGGAAGCGCAGCAACACGGGGGGTCACGTGCCACCACCGCTGTCGTTCCGCGGGTTTTCCGGGCCGGCGGTGGCGAGCAGCGCGGGGCACAGCTACACGAACAGCAACGCGGGGAACAGCGTGGGAACGGCGGGGTCGTCGGACATTTACCAGACGAATCAGTCGCAGGCGTCGAGCGGGGGGCCGAGCTGGGGGATGAGCACGACGACGACGACGGGGTCGCAGCGGACGTCGGAGGCGTCGACTCGGCCGAGCAACTTCTTCGACGCGATCGGGACGGTGCGGATGGAGGCGTTCATCAGCCCGCTGGCGTTTTCGCAGTTCGACGGGGACCCGGATGAGGAGGAGGAGCTGAGGTACCGGGCGCGGAGGCGGAGTAAGGAGCACCGACGCCGGGCTAGCAGGAGCCGGAATCGCGACAGTTATAACTCCCGGGGAGGAACACGGGGGGTGGATGACTGGTATTCCGGCAGTCGGACGGCAGGAGAGGATGACTTCTTCAGGGATGACCCATTCAAGGGGTTTTAAAGGTGAAGATGCTGTTTTTTTTGTCGGGGGACAAGTTCCCCTCGACTTTTGTATTCTATATATATCAAAGGAAAGTGTCTCCAGCCTCTCCCATTAGTCGGGGGTGGTTAAGGCTTTTCGAGGTTGGGGTTGGACTCATGGGACGGAGAGAAGAAGAGGGGACCTCAGGGTCATTTTATTTGGCGTATTATTAAGGAAGTCGACCTGCTGAGGTTTTGTTGATACAGTCCTTTCGGAGGCGACATGTAGAAAACCAGGGGAAATGGAAACAGATTATAAGGCCCATTGACCAAATTCTAATTTTCGGGATGATGGATGATGTTGGGGGCAGGGGATGTTTAGTGATCGGTCATGGGGGTGGAGTTAGGGCGTTAGGGAGCAAGTACGATCAAGTACAGTGCACGCCCACTGTACAACCCCTCCCAGTGCCCCTCTTTCAGCGGCCCGCGCTGTCACTCTTAGCAACCCATAAACCTGGATGCCTTCAAAGAGCGGAGATTTTTTCAAGCCTTTTTTCTTCTTCTTCTTTTTCTTCTCTTTTTCTTTTCCGCTCACTTTCCAATCTTTCCAAGTTCTGTCAAATCCACACCATCTCTTCTTTACAGCGCTTATTTACCTCATAAATCTTCTACAGGCCTACACGCTCATCACCACATTCCCGGCTATTATACTCTGGCTCTGCGCGACGCCATTACTGAAGTGGCTTCGATCTTTCCCCCTCCCCCCCCCAGTTGATCCTCCCCCAATGGAGGAGACGCTCGAACAAATCCAGGCGCGCCACCGCAAGGAGCAGCGCGATCTGGTAGCGCGCATCACGAACAAGAAGAAAAGCGCAACCAAGAAGACTCGGAAGGGTATCAACGACGAATGCGCCGAGCTCGAACGCCAGCTCAAGGCAAGGCAGGCCGATGAAGTGGCGCGGGCCACGGGGCCTGTCACTGGTAAAGAGGAGGAGGAGGAGGAGGAGGAGCCACAGGATGAAGCGGTAGACGAGGTTCTTTCGGAACGGATGCAGAATACCAGCATCAAAGAGAGTGAAGACGGCGCGCCGACACCGCCGACATCATCGCCGCCCCCGTCGTCGTCATCACAGCAACAGAGACAGAGACGGGAAGAACAACAATCACAACAGGGAAGTGAAGGAGGAAGAGGAGGAGGAGGAGGAGGCAAGAAGCGGAACAGGCAAAAGGAACGCATGGCCCGCCGTGCCGCCGAGATCGAGGCCGCGGCGGCCAAGGCGGAGGAAGAGGCCAAGGACATGACGGACCACCGCGGCCTCGAGCGCAAGTACATGGCCGAGGTATTCGTGGCCAACGACCTCGTGGAGAAGGATATACGACCGGACGGCCACTGCCTTTTCTCTGCCGTGGCGGACCAGCTGCAGCAGCACGGGATCCCGCTGCGGGGAGGGGGCGGAGGGACCGACGGGAACGACGGTAACGACGAAGACCCACCGTACAGGATCGTGCGGAAGGCTGCGACAGGATGGATGGCGGGCCGGCCCGACGACTACGCCCCTTTCCTCGAGGAGCCGCTCGATGCGTACCTTGCCAAGATCCGCGACACGGCCGAGTGGGGCGGGCAGCTGGAGCTGGCGGCGCTGGCGGCGCGCTATGGGGTCGAGATACGGGTTGTGCAGGATGGGCGGACGGAGAGGATTGAGCCGCCGCCTGGTGGTGTCGAGGCGGAGAAGACGAAGACGATTTGGCTGGCTTATTACCGGCACGGGTTCGGGCTTGGGGAGCATTACAACTCGCTTCGCAAGAAGGCTTGACGGGCCAATATATACGGAATACGATATGCCCCTTCTTTCTCGCGTCTACCTTCTTTCTACGTCGATATCGAAAGTCTCCCGGGACGAATCCTCCTTCGTCTTCCAACGTCGATTTCCGCTGCCTTCCCCCTTTCTCGGGGTACGGGGCCCATAAAAGCACCACTTCCAGAACAAGCGATTTTACATCTGCTGCTACACTGCAAATGGCGACTCGAAAGGAGACAGCGCTGTCTAGTCAGCCACGGCCCGTGCATGCGCCCACACATGAATCCAATCCCTCACGGTCCCGTCCTCGTTGGTGGCGTTGTTGTGTGTCCTCGCAGGCTTGATGAGGTCTAATCGACGCAGCCCCTTCTCGGGGTCCAACGGGGGGATCCGCACCTGCTCGCCATTCTCGAAGACCAGATCCTCGCCCGGCCTCGCCAGCAAGGCGACGTAGATGTCCGGAGTTAGGCCCCAGGGCGGGCCAGGTTCGGATAGGGGCTTGCCCGACGGGAACTCGAGGCAGACGAGCCGACCTGTGGAAGGGTGGAGTAGGGAGGCCATGCGCGCGGCCCATTTGGGGCGGGCCGAAGGGGGGAGAGCGCAGAGGAACTGTTAGATCCGTGTTAAAAGAAGCATGCATATATCATTATTTATCTCGGATAGAAGGAGGACGACCTCGATTTACAACGAGGGAGAACGGAAAAAGCATCACCAAGGAAGGTACGAATGATAGGTAGTAGAGACCTGAGGACGGTAGCATTTTGGAATGAAGGATAACATACCGTATAGTCAAAGATGAGGTCAAATCGGCCATCTCTCCCCACTCCACACTCTTCAAGCCAGGCGTCGTCGAAGAAATCCCCCGACACCCAACGTACCTCTCCTTTACCGCGACCGGCCTCAGCCCCTTGGTCAAAGGCAGGGCGAAAATGGGCCGTCACCTTCTCGTCACCCTCTTGCAGCCCGGCTTCGACGGCGTGTTGGTTCGTAACGGCCTCCTTGATGGCTCCGGGGGCGTAGTCTAGCCCGACGACATCGTAGCCGAAGGCCAGGGAGAGGAGGAGGACGTCATGGCCGCGACCACAACCGGGGACGAGGGCGCGAGGAGGCCGCTGCGTGGAGGATGATGGCGACGACGACGACGAGCTAGGCCGGGATGCCGATGGGACGAGATCTGGACGGGAGGCGAGGAGATCACGCAGGGCGATGGAGGGGACTGCGCGGTCCCAGGGGGTGTAATTCTCTTCCCAAAGTGAAGACCACTTGGGCCCATGGGTAGAGAGGGGTCCGGAGAAGGTTGTGGAGAGTTTATTGGAGTCTTTGTCGGACATTTTTGAGGCCTCTGGAGAGTTGTTTCCTGTGCGGTTATATATATATGTCTTCTTTCGTGAGCCGAGAGAGATGGATGGGAGTTGTTGAGTCGGTTGGACGACGGTGACGAGATGGGTCGAGAATACCTTAGGTAAGGTAGTTACGCTATAATAGATCCGTACTAACATATACAGTGGGGTAGCAGAAATTTCGGGATAATCCACACCTTTAACGCGATCAACGCGTTACACCTGTATCACCACCCTACCTTTAAATAGCTATAACTATAGATTAATAATAGCCTTAGACCCCTAACCACTATTATTCGCCTTATAAGAGGGCGAAGATTATAACCCTACGCGAAATAGGGTTATCCTATCGTTAGATTACGCGTCGCGAAGGCGTATCCCCTAGCACTGCCCACGGAATATGCAAACGGTATTAATAGCAGAAATCTGCTTAGTCACTCCCTCGCCTAGGGCGCCCACGAATGCTTAGCGAACGGGAAAAAAGATACCTCTTCCGATTTATCGAAGCCGATCCTTTTATTTTATATAAGGTTCTTCGAGATCGGGTTAATCTATAGTATAGTTATTACGGCTAACAGGCCTAACTATATAATAGCACGAAGGATACACTAGTACGTGACGTACCAGGACGTTACTAGAAGATAATTCAGGAAAGAGGGATCACGTGCCCTGACACGTGACTACGCTAAGACGGATACACTAGTATATAGGGTGTCGCGAAGTGTTCACGGAGGGGACGGTGAATAGGTTAGGACGTTCACCAGGGCACCAGTAAATAACGTAACTCTATTTACCCGAGGCTTAGTAAACTACACTATATATATATCAGAGTATCCTAGGTCTTACTTCTACTAGAGAATAAGATATCGATTAATCTAAGTCTTCACCTAGACTACTATTCTACGCTTAAACCTACTTTATAAAGAAGACGCCTAGTCTTTACGATATAACTACGACTAGACTACTACGAATAATAGTTACTACTCTTTAGTTAATATCCTCTTCTTATTTTAAACTAAAACCTTAACGCTAGTCCCCTATTATCCGCTATACTATAGAGGACCGGAAGCCGTCGTAATATTTTAATTAATTCTATTCGGTAAGTAGACCTTAATACCTAACGAGTAGTACTCTCTCGATAAGAACGATATATCGAATAACGCTAATACCACGGGTAACGCTACTAGTAACGCTAGAACGACGGCCACCGCGGCCGCCGACCTAATATAAGCTATACGTAATTAAATTACGTAACTCCACTAAGAGAACCAGTAACTCTAAGCTTAGATTAAAGCACTATGTCCTAGCAACCTAAGGTATAAGTACCTAGAGCCACCTAAGTATAATAGGACCCGGGGATAGCTATAAGGCTTCCTAACCTATCTCCGGGGGTATTTCTTATTCTATAGGGACACCCTTAACACGGAGGAGGCGAGAGTTCTCTACGCTATAGCACTCCTTATAGGAGACACCTATAGATAGTTTAAGCCTATCTATAGGGACTATCCAGAGCACCTTAACGATCCTACCGAGAGGGAGGATAATACTACGGCTATTTTCGGCGACTTCGAGGTTTTCGTTTAGCGACTCGGCGGTATTTTTAAGTAACCCGATAAGAAAAGGGTCGCTGCCTAACGACTTAAAAAGCTTTAATAGATTAAGTCGATAGCCGACTATACCGCTAAGTTCTAATAGATCGTCTCGAAGCTTAATTATAATAATAAACCCCGTATAGACCAATACTATCGTGGACTTAAAGACGAAGTCAAGGATAAACTATATAAGCTTAACCGCTTAGAAGATTTTAGTATATTTATAGCTATAGCTATTCGGATCGATAACTAATAATTTAAATAACGAATAGAGAAACGCTAGAACTCGAATACTATAATATATACTACTTACTATAGGAGGAACTAAGCTAATACTAATAGGAAGTAGCTATACCCACGCTAATTCGGGAGTACCTTATATAGGTATTATAGTAGTCCTATAAAGCTCGATAATATTAACCGATAGAATAATAAATAGGGCAGGAAAGATATAAGTAAAGTTAAATACTATAATTATAATAAAACAGGCTACTTCGCGCGCGATTACTGATAGCCTAAAAGAGAATAATCGTAATAATAGGCTAATATAATCGGAAGAGAGAAACCCTGGAAGGAAATTAATGCTATTAGATACCTGGAAATTTATAGGGACGAAATACTACACGCTAACCTCTATTAGATAACCTGCTACGATAACTATTATCTAGTATACTAATTAGAGAAGGACGGAGCTAGATACTACCCTAAAAGACCCTAAAAGATACTCGCTATAGTATTTAATAACGAGTACGATAACGATTATAGCCTTAAAATCCCCGACTAGGATAATAATAGACTAGCTTTATAAACCACCGTGGAAATTCTTTAGGAACACGGATAGACGAAGGAAGAAGCTAAAAGATAGAAGCAGATCTTAGAGATCTAGAAGAAATTGGAAGTCCACACGAATACTAGTAGTGGAGGCTTTAGCGCCCTCTAGGAAGTAGGACTTACTCCCGAAGAGAAACACTAACTTAAGAAAGAAGATTATATATATTACGTATAGGAGGAAATCGCTAAACTCGAAAAATAAGATTAGGAAACGGAGTCCGATAAAGTTCCGGATAATAACACGAACTTCTAGTATTAACTTATAAAAGTAGCCGACCTAATCGAAGAAGAAGCTATTTAGCTATGGATACTCGATTAGCTCGCGGAAGAACCCCTTAGATAAACCTACTAAGTCCGTTTTACTAAACTTAGCTTTAATAACGCTTACCGTAAAGTATCTATAAATACTAGCGAAGAATAGTAATAAACTATATATTAGCGACCTTACTATACTTAGGAAGACTAAGATACCTTTACCGGCCTAATAATAAGCCTATAAGAATCGGACGATTAACTACCTAAATACTAAACGTATAAGAGAGGATAAATAATACACGCTAACTACCTAGGCTATAGCCTAATCCTTTAGGCTAATTATATTAAGGACGTATATCCTATATATACAGAATATAAATAGACTAATAACTTCTAGCCACGGAATAAAGAATAAACCATAGAAGATAGAGTCTATTTAAGAAGATAACGTGATAACTAGGTTATTACGGAAACCAGGGATAAAAGACGCGAGATTCGCCTTTAACTACCTAGATATAACTACTACGAATACCGGTTAGATAAATATAAAACTACTAGCTATATAGTATACGCTACCGAAAAAATCCGATAACTAGAATAAGACTAAGAAGCTTAGGAATCACGCTTCTAGGCCCTTAATAAGCGCCTACGATAGATAGAATAGCTCTTAATCTAGTATAGGTTCTTAGATAAAGAAATATCCCTTAAATACCGAGCTAAACGGGCAAAAAGCTAGGAGTATACTATCGTAAGGAGCACGCGAGAGGCACTCGATAGATATACTCTATAACACGTAGTAGTATAGGGCACTATTACGTTAGAATACGACTTAATAAATATAAGATAAACGCACTATTAGATATAGGCGTAGCAGGAAACTTTATTTTACTAGTAGCTATGAGAAAGTTCTTTATACCCTAGGTTAGAAAATACCTAGAAAATAAGTATAAAATTACTCCGTATACGGGAAAGAACTAGTCCTAAGAAGAAGTTATTATTAGCTAGGAGACTATACACCTTTAGGTTAATATTCAGAATAAGACTAAAATAATAAAGTTCGACGTATACGATATAGGCTATAAGGACGTTATCCTTAGTGAGCTATAGTTTAATAAGTGGAATCCCGATATAGACTAGAAGCTTAGCTAGCTTTAGTGGAGATTAAAGAGTAAGTAGAAGACTATAAAGGAAACCTTACCCGATCCCGATATTCGTTAAAAATAGCAGAAAGACTTACCGACGAAGGAGCCTTAAGGAGACTTAAATAACCGCTAAAAGTTAGGGACTAAGGCGAGAAAAGACCGAAGAACGTTAAGATAATAGTGACGGCACGATAACCGATACGTAATAAATATTATTAAAAGAATCTATTAGATTATCTAAGCAGAGAAAGGACTCGTAGAAGGCGATTATAATAGACTCGCTAAGGTATTACCAGAATACCGTAAATACGGAAAGCTATTTACCGAAAATCTAGAAACTAGATTACCGAAATATTAACACTACGGTTATAAGATACCCCTTGAGGAGGGTATATACCCGAAATTCTTTTTAATCTACGGACTAAATTAAAAGGAATTAGATACCTTAGAAGAATATCTTAAAGAAATACTAGTAAAAGGCTATATTAGAGTATTATAGTTATTAGTAGGATACCCTATTCTATTTATACTAAAGGAAAACGGTAAACTACGATTATATATCGACTATTAATAACTTAACGATATAACTATTAAGAACTACTACCCACTACCTCTTATCTCGGAGATATAAAATTAGTTAGTTAGAGTATAATAGTTTATAGCACTTAACTTAAAAAGAGCCTATAACTTAATTAAGATTAAGGAAGGAGAAGAGTAGAAAATAGTATTCCGAATAAAGCGAGGATATTTCGAGTACCTCGTTATACCCTTTAGATTAATAAATACGCTAGTATTATTCTAAACGCTTATTAACGATATTCTAAGGAAGTATTTAGACTATTTCGTTATAGTATACCTAAATAATATTCTTATATTCTCTAAAATACTCGAAGAATACCGATAACACGTTTATATAATCCTATGACTCCTATAAAACACCGACCTACTAATTAAACTAGAAAAAGTATAATTCTATATATAAGAAGTTAACTTTTTAGGGTATATAATACGACCTAACGAAATCTATATAGATAAGGCGAAAATCTAATACGTCTCTAAGTGGCTATAGCCGTAAAACGTTCGCGATATTTAGTTTTTCCTCGGACTCGTTAACTACTATTAACGGTTTATTAAGGACTATAGTAAGATTATTATCCCCTTAACTAAAGTAACTAAAAAGGGCCTTAACTTTAACTAGAACGAAAAGATAGAAAAAGTATTCTAAGCCTTTAAAGGAAGGGTTACTAGCGAACCTATCTTAGTAAT